TTTTTTTTTTTTTTTTTTTTTAAATAACTGACACATCGACAAGCCATAGTTTTCTGAAAGCCAAATTAAAAAGATAGATATACAGATAAATGTGGAATATTTTAAAATCAATCGTATTTAGAGTATTTAGGTAGATGTAGTATCAAAGTTGGAAGCTCCTTTCTATTTTTAAAATTTTCGAAGAATATTAAATTCAGAAACAGATGAAAAAAAAAAAAGCAAACAGCTGTAAAGAACAATGGAAATTTGACTTTTCGTGTGTAATCTTCAAATGTAGACTAATGTCACGTATTTGTTAAGATGCCGTAATTAACGATAGATTAAAACAGACAACGCTCGACGAAGTCCTTTAGTTATCAAAATATACTCTTCAAAGGTTTTCTTTCTGATGATTGTGATTTAATGGTTGCAGGCTCTATTGCTACGCACAGAAACACGTGAAAAGCATCCGCGCAGTAACGAAACTGCCGGACACCTCAATGGCCAAGAGTTTTCGTGCGAAAAGCACACGCAACAAACCACCAAAACCACAAACAAAAACGAAGCCAACAAGCCCTTATCACGTGTCCGATCATAAAGCTGCTATTACAGTGGGTGTAATTATGGGCGTTTTCTTAATATGCTGGGTACCCTTTTTCTGCGTAAATATCGTCGCTTCATATTGCAAGACCTGCATATCAGTCCGAGCGTTCCAAGTATGACCATTTTTCTTTTCTCGTCTTACAAGATACGAGGGTCGGCTGAGAACTTTCGTCTGTATCTTCGAACATATACGAATAGAATACAGTTCTGCGCGAACACAGTTTTATAGCTACATATTTCCTTTATAAACATGCCAAGTGTCGATAAGTTTTCTCGACACAGTCAGAAACAGGATAAATTTCTTTGGCTAATTTCTGATTTTGTTCTTCCAATCTTCCATACTGAGATCTAACATTTCTTTTTATTTACGCTTTATTAAAAAAAGAAAAAAAAAAAACACAACATTAAAAGCCAAAATTGGAAAGAAACTACTAAACTAAAAATTTGAAAGTTTCAGAGTTGAAAAGGGACACTGAAGGCCATTCATCTCGACTTAAGGTTGCAGTGACTTTCTTTATCAAAAGTAAAATATCAAAATTCTTTGTTTAACAGAATGAAAAAACGCGTTGGCAAAAATATATACATTACGCAAAAAAAAACAAATATAAATTGTGCTAATATACTCTCATTTCCCTTTTGTTTCATTTCGATAGCTGCTTTCGTTCTCGAGATACAGACGAAAATTGATTACTTTTCAGCCGATTCTTATACCATTTCGAAAAACACCAAGTATAAACAATTTTGTATTTCTAAAAAAGAAAGAAAAAAAAAAAAGAAAAACAAATATCTGCTTTTCTTGTAATTTCTCAAAGTTGCGTTAACGCAACATTACATTTGTAATAATTATCTCTTCAACAATTTATATTATCGAATTTGATCTAATTCACATTGAAATTAGACGAAGAATAATGTACAAATTTTAACCAACTTTTCGAACACGTGGTAATAATTCGATTTCTTGGAGAATTGTAGAAGAGGATGAACGAAATTACGATTTTTTAAAGATTTTCGAATTATAATGGCGCCAATTTAGATCAGTGCTTTCCAAAGTGGGCGATAGCGCCCCCTGGCAGGCACTATAATGATTCAGAAGAGTAATACGTAATAGCTCCAAGTGCAATTGGGGCGGTGAAAAAATAAAGAAAGTGGAAAAGATAAGAAAATTTTGAAAAGTCGTTCGCACATGTTTCATCTGTCGTGAACATAGAAAGTCATCGGAAAACGATTAGATGCTTTATTTTCCAAATGAACACACAAAACGCAGATTGTAACCGTTATAATTTTAAGCTTCAACGTGTCTTATTTGCAACGTGTTTTCTTTTCTTGTTACGTTGAAAGAACGTAGGTAGAAATATAGATACATATTTCGCAAATTTGTCACTGCATTTTTCTCTTTGTTCACTTAAAAAGGACAGATTTTCAGAGGAATGCTAAGTAATTTTTTCTATCTGTTAAAATAAGCCAAATAAGTTTGAGAACCTCTGGTTTAAACCAAACGAATGGCAAAGGCGCGCATTACGAATAAGCACGAATTTAGTCGAAAAGGGAAGAGAGGCGGGGAGGGGAAAAGGGGGGGGGAGGGTGAACATTCAATCGTTCGATTCAAATCGAGCATTATTAATGCTCGAATTATGAAAACTTGGTTGGTCGTAAAGTGAAAAGGAAGGTTAAAAGAAAAGCAAAGAGTAGAATAAACATGAAATTTGTTTTGCAATAGGTACTCACTTGGCTCGGCTACAGCAACTCGGCCTTCAATCCGATCATCTACAGCATCTTCAACACAGAATTCCGAGAGGCGTTCAAGAGAATTCTTACGAAAGGTGCGAGAGCCCGAGGGAACCAACCGTCGACCAGCGAATGCGGAGAATTTCGATCCGTGGTTGTACAAAAACGGAACGGGTCTATGGTCGAATGTAACATTAGTCCAAGATCAAGCGCGGACAGCTGTCAGGTCGGAATAATGGCGCAGAGGCATCGCGATACTATCGTTAGTGCGATATAATCAAACTCGAATTTCCCCCCTCAGATTTATCGATCTTCCTATCGAACGAAAATCGCGCTTCTGCGCATCGAAGGTGCGCATTTCGCCAGTATCTCGGATAATTCGCCGGTTTAAACTGCAGTTCGCGATTTTCCATCGCGGTCACTGATCCTGTACGAGTGATTTTACTAATATACGCACGTAACATACGTAAATGAAACCATGACGGAAATAATACGTCCTTCCTGTCATCAGTCTTGCGCGTGGTATTCTACGTTCTTGGTACGAATTTTTTCGATTGAATCGAAGAGCGTTACACGAACATATCCATGTATAATTTTTCAGGTTCCCATACGGTCATATGGGTGGAACAAAATTTACGAACACTTAGAACCATTAACTCGCCGTTCCATCGTTCAGGAAAAACGTTGCAAAAATCTGCAAATACTTTTCGAGATATCGAATTCATTATCGAACTTTTCCTCGAGACAGGTATTCGATATATTTTTCGTATCGTCCAATAAGCGACCAGAGTTGAACCACCGTAATTTTACATGTAAAATATATTTCAAAATAATATAGGTTTTATCGCCGTGGGCAACAGTCATCACGTTAACAGTACTATGTTTCCCTTTCTTTTCTTTCCCCTCTCACCCTGAATGACAAAAGTTACATATGAATTTTCTTGCTGGAATATTTTTTTATTCACGAACGGTGAAAGGGGAAGAGAACTTATCGACTTACATAAATGGACGTTGAGATGGTTAAGAAAGAATATTTACGTAAAGACAATCACCAAAAGGTAGTTCAAAACATATCCGTGAGACATAATCTGCTCTTACAATAAAAGGAATAAACACGAATTATCTTAAAAGAAAAAAATCGAACAGAAGGATACTCAATTTCAAAAGTAAGAGATAAAGGGCAAGAAAAAAAAAGAACGAGATGAGAATTAAAATTCATGCGTAGAAAAATTTGAAACTAGTGTTTAGATAACATAAAGCAATTGTAATTATAAAATCATATTAAATAGTGCATCTACGATGTAAAGCTGGATGTTACATGAAGTACTAATAGTAACGTCTATCGAATCGTAGCTTATATTAGTACTAGGATCGCGGTGGAATCCGCACAGATTCATTTTCCATCTTGTAAATAGTCATTTATTTATTTTTCTATTTGACGGGACACCAACACGCGATCCACGTATTTTTGCATTGTAAGCGATATTTCGTTTAGGTGCTAACGTGTCGCCAAAACTGTTGCGCAACCCGTCGAATCTAACTCAAATCTGCGTCACTTATATGAGCGAGAAAAATCCTTGCGAACCGATGCTCATTGAGCCTCTTCCATCATCTATATCAGCGATTCACAATGTGTACTACATTCCGATAAACGAAAAGTTACACTTAGGATACCATAATTAGATTTAAAAAAAAAAAAAAATCAAAGAGATCCTATATTTTCTCTGTCGGAATGATATGTACACGAAGTCGATGTATACTAATGATATATTTGAATGACCGTTCTCTGTAAATATATTAACGTAAGACTTCCACGCGAATATCAAATTTGCAATATTTTATTACATCCTTATCATCCTAAACCTATTTAATATTAATAATTTTTTATTCTTCTAAAAAATAACATATTCTCCGACAAAACGTGTTTTGTTTCAATCGAGGCATTTGTTAAATGAATCGGTTTTGTATCTTGCCAGGTACGATTTCTTTTTGGCACTTGAAGAAAATCAAGAAGTTTAGAAGCCGAGTTTGGTATAATAGGATACAATACTAAACCGGCTACTCGTAAATTTTCCAAAGTTAAAGATATCACAGCTTCAAGTTGCTTTACGGAGTCAAGATCTTTTGATTTGCATAAATTCCATGGTTCATAATATTGAAACATTTGATTGGACGTACGTAACATATTCATCACAATATCTACTGCATGATAGAAATTATACTTCTCATAGCACATCTTAGCATTGTCACCTAATTCTTCCAAAGCTTTTATATTTTTAAGGGCTATCTCAGACTTTAAAATATTTTTATATTCAGCAGAGTTATATATTATTCTGTCTGGATTAATATTTCCACCAAAACAGCGATTAATTAAATTACCTATTACATTGGCAAGTTCAGAATTTAATACTTTTTGAATTTTCAATTCGTTATAATCTACAAAAAGGAAATAAAGAATTAGAAAATAAAGAAAGAACAATACTCGAAATATATTATGTACTCTTTGTCTTACTTGCATCTGTATCCAGTACAGCTTGTCGTAAAAGAAAATACCTCAGACCATCTTGTGTATAAGTTCTCATCACGTTAAAAGGTGATGTTACATTTCCTTTAGATTTTGACATCTTTTTATCTTTAACAGCCCAATGTCCATGACATACAAGTTTTCTTGGCAATTCTAGACCAGCAGCCATTAAAAATGCTGGCCAATATATACCATGAAACTTCAGTATATCTTTTCCTATAACCTAATTTGAAAATATTTTTTGACTTTTATTTAGAAATTCATTAGAAACTTATTTTATGAATAAGGTAAAGATATTCACTTGTACAGTTGGTGGCCAAAATTTTTTAAATGAATCATCTGGATATCCTATTGAAGTTAAATAATTAACTAATGCATCCAACCATACATACACTGTATGAGATTTATCAGATGGAGTAGGAATTGCCCAAGACACTCGTTTACTAGGTCTAGAAATACTTAAGTCTTGTAAATCGTCTAACCATTGAATCAATATATTGCGATATACTGCCGGTTCTATTACGTTCTCTAAATATAATTTCAAATATTAAAATTGCCAAGTCTTTCAGTTAAGTCAAGTGCATTAAATCAAATTGTATATATACCATTTTTCAGCCAACTTGTTAATTCATCTTTAAAAGAAGAAAGTCGAAATTTATAATTTTCTTCATCCATCCATTCTACTAAATCTCCTGATTCCGTATACCCTTGGTTGCTATTAACAATTTTTACTACGTCTTTATTTGAAACAAATGCTTCTTCTGATATGTTATACCAGCCAGAATATTTTCCTCGATAAATATATCCATTTTTTTCTAAACAATTCTGCAAAATTTTAACTTCATATTTCATTTGTTCAAACTTATTGATTAATAAGTTTTTAAACTTTATAAATTTAACAACCCAAAAGTAAGAAACTGCTTCCTGATGCTGTTCTTCAGTTGTTCTAATGAACTTTGAATAATGAACATGAAAAACATCACACATTTCTTGAAACTGATGCGAAACTTGAGTACAATATTGAACAATGGATAAATTTGTATCATTTGCAGCTTTTTGAACTTTCGTGCCATGTTCATCTGTACCTGTGCATAAAAACACAGAATGTCCTAGCATAGTATTGAATCTAGCTATGGCATCTGCTAAGATTGCTGTATAAAGATGTCCAATATGTGGTCCTAAAAAAAGTAACAAATCAATGTTTTAATATTAACTGTCATAATGTATATTTCTATGCATTTATAAAAAATTCTACTGTTTATAGTGACATACCAGCATTAACATAAAATATAGGTGTAGTAATATATATGCTTTTATTTACATGATCACTAAAATTCCTTTTTTTAGCATAAGTCCATAGTTCTGTTCTTGTCTTTAAGAATGGGAATGTCCATAAAGACTGGATATGACAAGATCTTGACAAATGGACTGTAATTAAAATTGAAATTATTGTACAGCAGAAGTATTCATAATAAAAAAACATTTGACATTCAAGTGTAGTTGAATATTGCTGAATAATTCAAGTTGCAATTATAGTTAATAAACAACTCAATATAAGTATTTTACTTTATCATTTTATTTTCAAACTACTATATACAAATTGAATATATCTGCAGTATCAAATAAAATATAATTACAATCCATTTTATATTCATTATTTAATTATTGTAATTCTAATTGTATTGATTCTAACTGTGCTATAAGATCCATATGCTTAAATTCATTAGGCTTATTAGTAAAGATTTTCAATAGTTCCAATCTCTTGATATTATCTGTACAATAATATAGTTGTAATTCATTCACTAAACATTGTGCTTCCTGCACGTTAATATATTTTTTATCAAATTCACCCCGCATAAGAACAATTCCTTTCTCATCTTTAAATTCAATATAATGAACAAGAGTTAAACATTCTGGCGCATTTTCTTTATGTGTTTGATACCATAATAGCGGTGTCATATGGATTTCTAATCCACAAAATTGACTAACAATAAACTCGTATCCTTCTTTTCTAGGTAATGGCAACAAAAACGTTGAATATTGTTTTCCACGTTCAAACATTTTATTAAATTGCTCTGGCATTAATATTCCACATATATAGTCTTTATCTTTATGATACTCTTTCCAAATGTTTATGATTTCATCCTTTGTTTTATCCTGAATCATATCGATTTTCATGATGGAATTTAATTTTGCTTTCTCAGGTTGTTTGCTTTGTTTCAAATATGGTTTTGCTTGGCCTTCATAATATTTATACTCTTCTTCCTGTTTCTCTTCAATTTAATAATATGTATGTCAAAAAATCAAAATAACGTAGTGCTTAATTATGACTAGTTATTAGAAGTAAAAGCAATTTAGTTTGATACTTAAAATAACATGCTTATACCATTATTTTCTATACTTCTATTTATTACATTTAAGTAATAAAAAACAAATATATAATTCAAAAAAACAATATATCAATAATAAAAATATTAAATATACAAATACTAAATAGGTTATTGTACCTCTCTTTCTTTGAATTTTTTCTTCTTCCTTTTCGACCCGCTGTAAGAACTCTTCTGGATTGGTCTGTTGCAATTTTGCTATTTTCTTAGCATACTTGTCGAAGAAAGGATTTTTTTCGAGATTTTCCAAAACTTTCTCAAGTTTCGTGCAAGTTGTCATAATGTACCTCTTGTTGCAATTGTTTGTACCAACAAAGATGTTTCTAGATATTAACAACGGTAACCGTATCGCGTTCTGCAAAGGAATTGCCATCGATCATTCAATATTTAATTTATTATCAATTAAAAATATAAATGCAAAAAAGCTCGACACGTTTGTTTCATCATGTACAGCTTAGATGGCGCTAAATGCTTTATGAAACTCAGAATATTTATTTTATATTAAATGCTATTAAAACCGTAAACGAGAAAATACTTTTAACATCTTTCGATCAAATACATTTTCAAGGTAAAATAAACGATAAATAAAAAATGTAAAATTCATCTCGTATTAATTTCTAGTAAGTAGCACAAGGTTCCGGTATATCAGTAATATAGCTATATACAAATACACATCCTTAAAACAGTAATGGTACTTTTGACCTATATCGCTCTGAAATATATTATATATAACAAAAATCGTACATACATATCGTTTATGCATGCATCTTTTACGAAATTCAAATTTTTAAATCAACATTGGCTATTTCACAAAGAAATTACTTGAGAGAACGTAATTTCATGTTCTTGAAACTAATATTACAAGAGTATGGCAATATCAAGTAGAAATAATTCAAATCCTTTAAAATTCCACTCAACTCATGTTATTTCTCATATAAAATGTTGAAATATAAAACAGACAAAGGAAGAAAAATGTAAATGTGAAATATAAAAACGTAAAATATTCTTGCTTGTTCTTTTTCTGTTTTTATTGAAGTTTCTCACATTTGACAAGAAAATTTTTCTCATTAAATGCTAAATAGCTGTGAAAAAAAAAAAAACAAAATGCACGACTTGTAGTGAAAAAATTCCAATTTTAACGCACATCTCGACTTATATAGACGTCACTGTGAAAGATACGGTGCTCGTTCGAAGAATCTCAGCATAATTGCTACGGTCCTGAGGAGAATCTAGTACCGCGAATTCAAGCGAGTCATTTCGCACAATTAAATTTCAAGACGGTGATAAACTCACAGCTAAGTTGACACGAAATTTTTCTCGTAATTAATATAAAAAGTTCCCGGATGGTTTGATCAAAAAGATAGTGTGATTAACTGACAACAATTTGTTGATAAGGACTCTGACTTGAACGCCGCCCGCCGTGACGCATCGTTTCCGCAACGTCAGTTGCTCTCGTGCTTCTAGCGAAAGGGAAAATGTCGGCGTATTAGTGGGGTTTTGTTGTGCCACTAGAGAGTGACTTTTGGCTATTGTTTCCCGATTTCATCGAAGAAAATCTCAAGATTATTACGGCTTTGGAAAGAGTCAGCATCGTTCAATTTGCCAGTAAATGGCGTATAAGTCCTATCGGGTACGCTTAGTACTTTAAATCAGGTTTGATTCCGACGTGAGCCAGTCGCAGAGTCCGCCGTCGGTTCTAGCGGAGGAAGGACAGAAATAGGGAAGGCAAGAGCAATATGTCGATGCAGTTGGCGATGTCAGTGGCAAAGAATGAATTTATCGTGGGTGGCAAATACAGGCTGTTGAGAAAGATTGGCTCGGGATCCTTTGGCGACATTTACCTCGGTATCAACATCTCTAATGGTGAGGTAAGGAGTACCGTTTCACGTGAGACGACCTGCCAGCACGTATCTTCCTCCTTTCCTCACTTCATTTCTTTTTATCCTTTCATCCCCTTAACAACGTAATAAGTTATTCACCCAGTCGCAATATTGTAACTAAATTTTCCCTTACGATGCCGTTATTAAGCTTACGAAATATGTTTTTTTTTATGATATTGTTATTGGTTATTGATACGCGAAATATCCATTGTTTTCCCTTGGGGGAATTTACAACTTGTGAACTTTCCATCTCGGCGGAGTTACATTTACTTAGTCAACCATACCGAGTCAGGCTATTTTTAAAAATTTCATTGGTACATTTGTTTAACTGCAAATGTTTGCCCAACTTTTTTCCCAATGCGATTAACCTCTATATGTAAAAAAGAACAGTGATATATGTATATCTATATATATATATATTTATATATTTATATTGTTTACGTGTGTAGATTATAAGGCAATATGTTATTAAAATACATATGTCTGTAATATTTGTTATAAAATAACTACTACAATATAGTAAGTAGTTATTTAAGAATCATTTTTATATAGTCAAAATTCTTGCGTGTCACGAGTAAAATTCACGCTTGAAATTTGTTTTTATTTTACATTTACATTGTTTTTTATTTCTTTGTATTTGTATGAAATTGTTTTAAATAAATTACACCACAAGATGTTTTTTTACATAGAGTTTTTATCATATCTTTTACTTATGAATATTGTACAATAATTTTATTTATAAAATTTATGTCGTAAAATGAATTGCTAAAATTTCATTATTAATATAAGACAATATATTACATATATATAATATATACAACTTTTTTTATATTAAATATAGATAGAATGTATATATTTATTTATTTAAAGAGTATTAAATGAGAATAATCATATAATACTTAAATGAGAATAATCATATAAATATTATAAATTAAATTGATAACATATGATATGAGAAAAACAAAATTAAACTTTAATAGTTTAGGGTATATGAAAGGGAATATAAAAATTGTAAATCTGTAATAGTTTATGTACGTATGTATAGTATATTTCAATATGTTGATAATAAATTATATTATATGTCATTTTAGGAAGTTGCTGTTAAATTGGAAAGCGTACGTGCACGACATCCACAACTCCTGTATGAGTCAAAGTTATATAAAATTTTGCATGGTGGTATAGGAATACCTCATATACGTTGGTAACTATTATCTTTAATAGCTTTTCTTAATTGTAACAAATTACACTTAACCCTTTGTGGATGAAATAATTCGAAGCCTAGCACTCTGTAGAGTGCTCATTTGAAATTACAGTTCACATTTACATCATTGCACACTATATCACTTTTTAAATTGCGAATCAAATTGCTATAGCGATATATAGTTGTTTGAAATCACAGTTCATATTTACATGATTGCACACTATATCACTTTTTAAATTCCTAAGTGTCAAATTTGGGACATGTGTATATGTGTGATATTAATTCTTCTGTAAAGTATAATGAGGAATTCATATTTGCTTTTATTCTTGGATTTCTTTTATAAAAATGATGTGATACGGATTTCAGATTATTATTTGACCATTAACCAAAAATTTGTAAATATCTGCAAGTCATCAATATTCTCATACTCTGAATTTTCAAAATATATTATTCAGCTCTTTTTATTATTCAAGTTGATCACCTTGATATTGTTATTTATAATATCAAGTTTATCTTCTGTTAATGTTTTCATGGGCTTTTCTATTATTTTCATTATAAATTTCTTCATCATCAGACACAGTATTTACTTCACTGCTATCGTTTTCACTTATTCTAAATTTCTTCTAAATTTTTTGTGAGGATTACAAAAATCTTCATGTAATAATCTTTCTGATTGGCAAGCTGAATGCTGAACTAATAACTTAATATTCTTTATAACCGACTATCATTGTCCAATGCATATATGTGTCTTAAGTTCTATCATTTGTTTTCGTATATTTTCGTCTTTTTGTTCTATTGCTTGTTTTCATGTTTTCGTCTTTTTGTTCTATCGCTTGTTTCCGTATGTTTTCGTCTTTTTGTTCTATCGCTTGTTTTCTCCAAACATATATATGCGTCAATCGTTTACAAAGGGTTAACGTTGTTATATGCCGCAATGTGATATGCATTATTATCTGACATAATTTATAAAAACGACAATTAAGTTTGATTTTTGAATAAAAATACAATTTCATAAATAGTTTTTTGTTAAATGTAGGTATGGACAAGAACGAGAGTATAATGTACTTGTCATGGACCTTCTTGGTCCATCTCTTGAAGACCTTTTCACTTTTTGTACCAGAAGATTCACAATAAAAACAGTCTTAATGTTGGCAGATCAAATGATTGGTAGGATTGAATATGTTCATTGCAAACATTTTATTCATAGAGACATCAAACCAGACAATTTTTTAATGGGTATTGGCCGTCACTGTAACAAGGTATGACTTTTAATATTACTTTCCACAAAATTTGTATTAATGTTCATTGAAATCTAATATTAACTATTTTCAAATTTTTAGCTCTTTCTTATTGATTTTGGATTAGCTAAAAAATATAGAGATAGTCGTACAAGACTGCATATAATGTATCGAGAAGACAAAAATTTAACAGGTACAGCAAGGTATGCGTCAATTAATGCACATCTTGGAATAGAACAGAGCCGTCGTGATGATATGGAATCACTCGGTTATGTGCTTATGTATTTCAATCGCGGATCTTTGCCTTGGCAAGGGCTTAAAGCTGCTACCAAAAAGCAGAAATATGAAAAAATAAGTGAAAAGAAAATGTCCACGCCCGTAGAAGTTTTATGTAAGGTAAGCCTAGTATATTTGTGAATTCATATCTTCGATTAAAATTAAAATAGATTCTATATTGAAATTTATTTATATTTTTTTAAATTTCTCATTCAGGGATTTCCTGCTGAATTCGCGATGTATTTAAATTATACACGAGGTTTACGTTTTGAAGAAAGCCCAGATTATATGTATCTTCGTCAACTGTTCCGTATACTTTTCCGTACATTAAATCATCAATATGATTATACTTTTGATTGGACTATGTTGAAACAAAAAAGTTGTGTTGTTGGAGGATCTGCAGGTGGTCCAAGTCAACCTACACCAAATACTCAAGGGCAAGGACAAGCCCAAGCTCAGCCACCCGCTCAGACCAACGCTCAACCAGGTGTACTATCTTATGTTCCCAATTATATTATACATTACATTATCTTCAATATTTATATGTGCATAAAATAACAATTTAATAATATAATATTACTTATATTTTAAAATTTATTGTGAAAATTTATTGATATTCAATTCTAATATTTGTTGTCATCTAATATATCATTCTTCATTTATATAACATGTAATTTTTATTGTTTGTTTCAGAAAGGATAAAACTATAATTACTTGTCATTGCATCAATCCTATTTGCAGTCACTAAAGTATCCAAGACCAGGTACTCAACTTTGTACGAATGCCATGCAAAGAGTCAAATCAATCAATCCTCTAAGTTTACATTAAGGAGGAGATTAATGATTACAAGCGTATCGTACACGAGTAAAGGACAATGCTACGGATACATGTTTGTGAATTCGCTGATTAGTGAAAACTTCAGTGTATTCTCAGTGCTTAGAGTTTTGGTTGATCCACCTCTTTGGGCTTAAAATCCAAGTGAGATCAGCCAGAGGTGGCTTGTTCTTATTTTGTTATTACCTATTTAATTCACCGTTGATAATAATTGAAATAAAGGTTTTGATGCCCCGAAGACCTTTGTAAAAGATTACACGTAACGGTGTAATGTGTGATTTAATCGAAACTCCGACAAACAATTTTCATAGAAAGAAAGAGAGAACGTTTTGACTATTCTTAAACATTCGGGGTAATTAATTGAGTACGTCGTATAAAATTTTATATCTATTCTACAAATAGAGAAAAGAATGTGAGGATGAGTGAATGATTATGTGAGAGTATGAAAAAAATATATAAGTGTACTGAGAGATAAATACAGTTTGTTGCTTCCTGATTTTTGTTTTATTCTCAGTACAATACAGTATAAATATGACGAATGCAAACTTTGAGAGAAATGTTAATATTTTTCTTACATAAATTATCATGTCAGTAGTATCAAAGATTTTTCTTTGATATTATTGATTCTAGTAACACCTTTTTTTTATATAAGTATATATATACATACTTATATATGTGTGTATATGTATATACATATATATACACGTAACGTACACATAAATACATTCGTGCGTACGTATGAGTAAATGGAAGTATCTTTAACGTAAGTACTGGAAGTAATATTACTATTAAGGCAGCAATTTAATTTTTAGATACGTTGTATCGATCAAGAAACGAACAAATTAATAGCGAGTCTGACCTAACAAACTTCACTCTTTACTCTCTTTCTTTCTGTGAGTATATTTAGTCGATCATGATAAATGAAATGAATATTAAACAGACTTTTCTGTATTGGAGATGGATTACAGATTTGCTTTACATTTGAATAAAAAAAAATATATATATAAAAAATAGTACATAAAATACTTGATGTATGGAAGGCAACTCTGTAACCAGATCCAGCCAAAGGACTTCTTCCGTATAGTTTTAATGGCAGAGACTGTGCAGTGGTATTTCCGTACTATTGCTTCGATATTAAGTTTATATTACGTGACTTCAATCGGTTAGTTGGTTGTTGGTATGCATAACAAAATGTCGTATACGAAGTCACGTTACACACGGTAGAAGTTTCAAAAAATCTCGTTTCTGTCATTGAAAATTTTCTTTTACATCAACCATTCTAGCGCCAATATTCACATCTATGTTCCAAGCACTACTTCCAAAATGATGTATAATCAATAGTGTTAACTCATGTCCTTACTATAAAAATATTCTTAAAAAAATAATAAAAAAAAAACAAAAAAAACGTCCGGTCAATCTTAGTTTGAACCAAAATACAAGGGATGATACAACTGAATCTTGTGTACTATTATATATTTTGGAAAGAAACTTTATTTGATGAAGTTTTTAGACAGTAAAGAGATATAATCGCTAAATATCTTTCAGTGAACGTATGGTTTATTATTATTATTAACATTATTATTTTTATTATTAATATTGCTATTATTGAAAATTAAAAAACTGAGAAACAAAATTAATGAGTAAAAGTGTGTACTACTATGCAATGAGAATGAATGATCTAGTAAGTTAATGAATAATTAATAAGCACTTATTATTATCTGGTATGTATGTGTGTATATATAGGATGTCTCGCCAGGTATTCAACAGATTTTTCCCACGTGTTCAGCAAATCATTCTGAATAAAAAAGATGTCATATACTCTATAGGTCTATTTAATTTCGTTCTCCAATTATATTAAAAACAATATAATATTAGGTGAATAGTAAAGTAATAATTCAATTACATTTCTTTATCTAAATGTTTTTTTTTAGATAGATAATCTTTAATTTATATATGATACGAATCGTCGTTTTCAATGAATGTTACAATCGTTTCTATATAATAATAGTATTCTAATAAAATAATGATATGATAAACTAATTAATTTTGCAAATATTTTTATTATAATATTTCTTATATTTTTTATATTTCAATCACAGAAAAAAGTCATTCTTATATATTTTCAACATTATAGTAGTAAGAATTTTTATTTAACTTGCTGTAGCAAAATTTGTATATGAACTTGACATCAGTATATTTTATACATTAAAAATAAACAATTGAATAGTTATATCTAAAGCAAAATTAAATATTCGAGATTACGAAACTAAGACCTATAATGTATTTTTCTTCATTCTTAATGACTTGGCAAATACGTAAGAAAAGTTGATAAATACTTCACAAGATATTCTGTATACAGATAATGCTTTATATATGTGCATACATACATACGTGTATGTATGTATAATAAAATATGACAGTAATTAAGACATACGTTATTTCATAAATAATGAAAATCATCAACAGTTTATTGCTCCTTTTATCGCTATAAATAAAAAGTGGAACATTGTATTATAGTCTCTATTTCATTAAGTGTCAATTTTGATGGCAATACACACGTTATCCAGAATGGTAGTAACATGTTGTTCAAAATGAACGATATACTTGCTCCCACAAACTGTGTTGCGATATTCTTGACACATGGGATATGTAAAAGATATTTATGTAAATATTTTTAAGTCATATATTTGACGATTCTTAAAGGATATACAGAAGCCACAGAGGCATCTAACTTTATCGTTTAAATTGTTAATAGTAATAATATTTGAGTTTATAAGGTAACAAAATGTGCTGCAGACTACCAGCTACAATCATCGTGCTGTAGTCAATTCGAAAATAAATAAAAATCGCACGCTCCAAAATTATGTTATCGCTAGATTTAATCCGTTCCTTTCATCGGATATAAAAAAATCAATTATTCATTTTGTTTTTGTACATACAAAATATATTAACTGTGTATATAAATGTAACAGAACATAATTGGCTACTACAGCTTATGCGTAAGTGACCAAAAAACAAAAACTACAAAGTTAGTACTTTACGAACACATTGCACTTACCACTGCTTTTGTGGTAGCATATTCTGCCACGTTAATATTTAATACTTAAGAATTAGCAAATGAAAATTAATAGCACAGCAAAGTATGAATTTTCCTAAGTTCCTGCGTTCCTACGTTAACAGTAAAAACTTGTTCTTGACCTTCGTGGGGAATTGCGATTTCGGCAGCAAGCAATTGATTTTCATGCATCGCTGCAGCCATTTCACGATTTGGGAATATTGCGAAATTAGCTTCAGCCATTCCACCTACCGTTCTCTGTATAACTTCTTCAAGAACTTCGTTCTAAAACATCAAATTTTTAATTTTTATTTACATATAACTATAATAATGTATACTTTTTTACTAATGAATGACTTACGATTAATTGATCAGTTCGTTCTTTTAATTCTTTCATGACTATTTGCCGTTGTAACAGTTGATAAACTGGCATTGCTTTTTCTAATGTTGGGCCTTCCAAATCACGTGCCTTATTACGTCTTAAGTCAGGAACAATAGGGAATGTCATGACTTGTTTAATATCCTGAGAAACAAAAGAAAAATGTTGATTAAAAATTAAATAAATACAAAAGAATATTCTTTGAATTTTTCATTTATACAATAATTATTTTGTGACTTACTTTAGTAAGATCATTAGTTTTTTGTTTCAATTCCTGTATTTTTGCATTAACTGATCCCTGTCTTAATGGAGGAGTTATTGGATCCAAACTTTCTAACTTCTGGCGTAATACATCAGACATTAATTTCTTCTTTTGTTGGTTCTCACTATTTAATGCTTCTTTGAGAGCAGTTATTTCTTGCATTAAGAATTTATTGTCCATTGATTGCATTCCAGATGCTGTTGTAACGCTTCCAGACATATTGTCTACTCCAGATACAGACATCATCGTCTTCTTTCCAACAGATTTTAATTTTTCCTTTAACTGGCCTCTCTCAATTTCTAAACTATCAATATCTGTTTGAAGGTGATCCATTGTTTCCTCAAATTCTTTTTCCTTTCGTTTTAATTGATTCATGGCTTCTTCTAGTTTTCTCTTCAATTTTTCTACATTCAATTCATGTTCATGTTGTTGAGTTGCAAGTTTCTTCTCCACTACATCTTTCCTCAAAATCATTTCACACAATTCTTCTTGTTTTTCTCTAAGAGCTAATCTCGCTTCAAGTATGTCACTATCCCTTGCTTCCAGTTTCCTACTAAGTATCTTAATTTCTTCAGCTTCTTTTTTCGCTGCTTGTGCTCTTACTTTAATAGGCTGTAAAGATTCACTTTCCGGATTTTGTTCTCGTTGTTGTGATAATTGTCCACTTATTGCTAACTCGTTTTCGCATTCTGCCATTTTTTGTGCTAAACTGGCCGCTAATTGTTGAATGCTTGACAAACTTCCCTTAATCGTAGCTACCGGTCCGACATCTTCTGTATCATAAACTTTTTCACATGCTATAGAGGCCATTTCTTTCAATTTATCTGCACTGAGTCCTGTATCCAAGTCACCATTGACGATAATTGTTTGTACAGCGCTCTTCAATAAAATCTGTAATGTTTTCATCATTTTTACAGCATGTTGGTAACACGTAAAAAGTTGCTCACTACAATCTTTATCCAAGCCTAAATTAGATTCTGCACTATGAATTGCAGCAGCATGATCTGTCAATACTCGTCTCCTAGCTGACTTTAAATGTTGTTGAATTACTTCGCACGTTGTCTCCGCATGTTGACAAAGAAGGCCTATATCACCACTGTCTCCTTGAATTAAAGTTTTGATTGCCGCGGCGTCAGTCGTAATAGCGTCACAAGAACTATCCAACATTCTCGTACCATTAACTATCAAGCGAGCTTGGTTAATGGTTTCCCCAAATAATACAGAAAACATAGTGCAAAAGTATCCACAACACTTCTCGATAGCATCCATTGGTAGATTCTCGTCTAACTGATCTCTTTTGGCTAGTTCTATCAAGGAATCTAAAGATTTTTCTTGTGCTGCCATTTCTGGATAAACTGCTCCAGTTTTAAGTAACATTTCAGGATTACATACATTCAACGCAGATTCAAAACAACCAAGGAACGTCTGCAATGCATACATATACGAACAAAGGCGCGATCTGAAAGTATACTGTGCTACTAAATGACCCTTTAACACAGCTGTTCTATCTACTTTATCTAATGATCTATATTTTTCTCGCACTTGCGACATAAGTATTTCTGTCTTTTGTATCATTCTTGGTATAAGTAGAAGTGTTAAAATAGCATCATGATCACCACCGCGTGCTAAGAATGCAAGAGGCATGAAAGATAATAAATATTTTACATGATTTCGAGCCTCTTCGGCTTCTAATCGTCGTAATTCAAGATCAACGGCTTTTGTTTGAGCACGCGTTTCAGCAAAGGTTTTCTGGAAATCTAAAATTTCTGCTAATTGCTGCTCTGCGCCTCCCATTCCAAGTTTAGAGGTTTCTGTTGATTGTACACGTTGTTGTAATTGCAAGCATTGATCCTGTAATTGATGAGTGAGTTCGCGGAACTTTGTAATCGTAAGTTCACGGTCTGCTAATGTCTCCAAAGCTGCATCTCGATGGCGATAAGCATCACGTGCTGCTCCAAGCGCTAAATCTAATTCTTCCCGCAATTCTAATTCCAATTCTTTTGATGACTCAGCAAGTTGATCAGACATATCCTAAATAAAAAGATAATTATTTAAATGAGTTATTTGTATATTATTAAGTAAGTAAATAAGTTCAGAAAAGACATACTTGTAAAGCTTCCAAATCTGCAACGGCTTCTTCCAATTCGGCGACCTTCTCTTCTAGTGCCATTTTTTTCTCACCAAGTACTTCAACCATTTCTTCAGCCCCTAATGCTGCATCAACCTATTTGACAAAAGAACAAATTTTTATAAGTATCAATAAAGAGTTACTCATTAAATGTTATTAATATAAATGTTGTTGTATGTATAAATATTATTTATAAGTGCTTCGTACTTGTTCTTGCAAATCTGCTATCTGATGTTCCATTTCTTCGACTCGCGTAGACAATTTTTCCTTCGTGCGGCCTAATTCTAATATTTCTGACTTTTTTTGATCTAAGTCCTTCTGAAGTTTTTGAAATTCGTGCTTTTCGTGTGCAGAAAGATCTCGCATTCTAACGAGAGTTTCTCGTAGTCGATTGTTTTGTTGTTCCAACTGTTTTATTTCATAACTTGAAACACCAGTAGCTGAACCTCCTCCTGCACCCTATAGTAATTATGCAATCATTTATATATTATATATACTATTATATATATTATTATATTATATATATTATAATAACCGTAATAACATAAGCTATCAAATAATTTACCCTTTCAGACACTTCGGTTCGTAATATTTCTAGATCTAGTGTTTGTTCTTCAAGCTTTTCTTTCAGTTGTTCCAATTCAATTTGCAATGTCTCAGCCTTTTCTTCGGCCATTTCTTTATCTAATGTTGCCATTTCTACAGTTTCTGCAAGATCTGCCATTTCTTCTTGGAATTGTTCTCGCGCTGCATGTGCCTCTCTAGCTTCTTGACGCGCACGTTGTAGTTCTCTTTGAAGACTAGCCTTTCAGAAATAAACATAAAAATATTAAAATTAACGAAAACCTCTTTCATAAGCATAATTCAAAAGCTTCCATCACTTACTTGGCTTTCCATAACTTTCGTCTTGAACTCAATGAGTTGTTCAAGTTGAAGTTTTGTTTTTTCAAAGTCTTTCATTCTTTCTTTATCTTGCATTCTCTTTACTCGTAAAGTTTCCACTTTTTCAGTAAGATCACGAACCTGTGTTAACATATATAAAATGTATTATCTTATATTTGTTGTATATCTCAATATATAAAACAACTAAAAAAAACATAGCGAATTAGGAAATATTTTATTTCAATCTTTTTTTCAATTAGCGAATAGGAACTTGAGGGAATATTTTGTTTTAATTGACTACCAAAAAATGCCCTTAATTATTCTCAATCTTTAAACTGATTTCTTATTATTGGGAAATAAATTAATGATGGTGTTTAAAGAAACATCCAAAACTTCAAAAGCATACAATAACCAAACAACAGAAATCGAAAAAAATTTATCTAAATCTTATAAACTTTTACAATGAACAATTTTCCAGTAATTTAAGAAAAAATAAAACTTATCTTTATATTTATTGATTATCTTATTAAAAATTATCCAATAATTTAAGAAAAAAATAAAACTTATTTTATTAATATAATTTACCTGAGATTTTAGATTCTCATTTTCTTGTTGAAGTTGTAAATGTGATAATTTCTCTTCTACTACATTTGCAGCTGCTGCAGAACCTGCCATGACTTGACCAGGTACAAATTGTGGTTTCAGAGTTTCTACAAAACCTGTCTAAATTGTAAATAAATTATAAATGAAATTATAATTTAATATCAGGTGTTTTTTTTATTATCGCACTGAAAACACATACATTTTAAAAAGTTGCATTGGGTACTTTAGCTGAAGTACTCTAGAATGCTTTATTTCAATTAAATGATATAATTATAAATATAATTTTCTATTAGCGGTAATGAAAAAAACACCCTGTATTTCCTATGCAAAACATTATGTTTCAGAAGAATGTTGTTTTTGTATGTACATTCAATAGAATTAGTCTATTTCAAAGTGATTAATGAGATTAATTGTGACAAAAGACACCAACAAGCTACACCAAATATTCTATTAGTTCTAACAAGTGTAGGAAATTCAGTCAATGAGTTGAATTGTGTTATATGATACTGCAGTTTACAGTAAATATAATATTAACTAAGTCATCTATCATGTCCTAACCATTTATAAATGTCAACTGCATTTATATTATAGGGATAAGGTTTTTGGTAAATAATAATTAAATAAAAAAAAAAGAATAAGGCTGTTCCAAGTATGAATCACAAGTTTATATCACAATGCTGTTAAATTCCTATTCATAGAAGGACTGTTAACATCACCTCATTAATATAATGCTAAGGGGAATTCAGCATCTAATTGTTAAAAAGAAAAATGATAATTGTATATTTGAACGCCTCTTCTCATGAGAAATTTTTGACTAAGCATCACAGAACTCAATTAACAAAGCAGATCCTTAATGGAACAGTGAAAATAGTGAAGGATAAATCAGTTCCACAATCCATTAAGAAGAAGTAAACCCATCAAAGTGCAGTGATGCTAATTTGAAGTCATGTGTTACAATGCTTATGATCAACAAACAACTAGTATGAGAAGGTTTAAGGTCAGATGAGAAAATTTAGATATTACAATTAATGAGTATTAATTACATTATTGTGATCATCTTGGGCCTTTGGCTTTTTGCCGGGAGGCGAGCTCGTGCTAGGGGACTTCTGAAACACGTACGTGCATTCCCATATGAATCATTCTGTGTCAACGGAATTATTTAACATGTACTCAAAGTTTAAAGTTCTCTATTCTGCCTTATTATAGTTTGTCTAACATTTTAATTATTTCTCTATGGGTTTTTTATCTATTACCGAGTCACAGAATAAGATTCTTTGAATATGATAGTAACAAACATATAAGTTACTTCAAATAGTTCAAAGATTTAAATGTAGCAAAGCCAATGATTTTCTATTAATCATGAGAATTTATCACATTTAAACGTATATTCCTATTTTATGGAAGACTATATCTCATGTATTCATGCCTTGTTGAATCCTCAGAATAATTCATTCACTGTGTTCACATAAATAACTGATATATCAACTTATTGAAATTAACTATAAAAATAACACAAGCATGGTCAAAACAAAAAGCAATACCTCAATGAATGAAGCTCGTTTAGTAGATGTTGGGGCTGGTATAAGTGATTCTCCTCCATCTTTACGTTCATGCTGTGATCCAGATAAGCTTTCTGTACTTGGAGCACTTAAAAGTGTTCTACTACCAGCCAATGATAATCTTGAACTGTAAAAAATACAATATCAACACCTTTTTAGTAAATATAACTTAAACTCTGACAATATATTTTAGACACATATTACTTGCTATAATACTTTTTTAAAAGTGAAGAAATGATACAACAATTACAACTTTTTATTCATATGCTTATTTATATTATATATACATTTAGTGTAATAAGGGAAGCTTACAAATACATAGAAAGTGAATAACAATTACAATTTTTTGCTACTCATACATACAAAAGCAATTAAGAAAAACATCAAGATAAATTTTTCAATGATCAATTTTCATGAATTCTTACCCAGATAGCTTGTCAGATTGTTGCCTAGTATGGGCAGGAGATGTTTTTCTCCGTACTCTTTTAGACCAGCATATGAATTTTAAGCATTTATTACTTGTCTATTTTTTTTTATTGTTTTTCATATAAAATACTGCACAATGAAATTTAACAGTTTATTTTGTAAATTAATTAATCAATACAATAACTTACGCAGTAGGTTCATTCCTTCGACGTGTACTTATGCTAGCATGAAATTTGATAATATATAAGTCAACATCATCGCAGATGATACGCAATATTATCTTAACAAAGATTCAATGAAATTTAAAAGAAGAATCATATTACCTATTCAACCGACTTCTAGCGCGTGCTGCACTGGTTTCATCTGGCGTAGTAGCACTGCTACCTGCTGACGATGGACTAGCAGGTTCAGTTCTATTACCTGCTTCATCCAGTAAGATAAGCTGTGACTGTCGTACAAACATTCCATGATTTTCAGCACACTAGTACAATAGAAACATACAATGTGTAAAATGTGATTATGTGATTGTTATATTTTACATACACAAAAAAATATAATATACTTTAAAGTAACATTGCCCTTTGATAGTTCCATTGTTTTTTCCTTTCGGTTCGTCAAGTATAACTCCAATCCATTTGCCTGCAGCAAAACTTGGATAACCAATATAAGCAATTACTCCTTGACAGTCTTTGCCAGGAACTTCGACACGCTGACTGATTTTGTATGACATCTCAGCTGTGTAGAATTATCACATCTAATCTTCTATAATTCATTTATTGTAACAAGATATTATTATTTTAACTTTTAGTCGGGTATATAAACTTGTCAATTATATATCTCGATTTCGTTACAAATAGTTCAAACAACATAAATTCTTAATTGAGCTGACAACATACGTTCCGTTACTGTATCAATTCTGTCAACTTCGTTATGTTGTTTCTATTTTGTGCAATTGGAATCAGAAATTTCGGAGTTTTCGTTTCAAGTTAAACAATTTTCGTTACGTTTCCAAGTTTTACTATTCTACTGAAACTTAACTTGTTAAAATTTCAATTTGGTTATTCAAAACATTATATCATTGATTCTCACTTCTAATGACTACACACCATCCTAACATCATACAAATTTCTGTTACTATTTAGATTTATTTCAAATATATCCAAAAACTCAAAAATATACATTTCTTATCATCTTATTTTTTCTTTTCAATCGATAACATTTTGTTCAATTTACTTTGAAATATTTTTATTGAAAAGATGTATGATTCACAAACTCGAAAATCCAAAATAAGAACACTACTCGTACATAGAAGAATATCAGGATAGTATCAAAATAAGAAATTTATTTTTTTACTGATATTATTTATTAGATATTAAAATTTTATTGTTATAAGTATTGAGTAAAATGTACGAGATAAATTATTACGATGAAAAGTATATCGAAATTTATGCGCATTAAAATTTCTTGAAAATTTTTCCTGAAGGTTATACGTGGGGCACAAAGTTATTCAATTACACCATTGAACATATGTATCTATATATATATATGGCATCAAAATAATACCTTATGTTAAAGTTCTTGAAAAATAACTTTCTTTCAGGGTGCGTATATGTATGTACCTGTTATTCACAGTATTTTAGTAAATATCCACGGAATGGAAACGGAAACTATTATGAAGGATTGTCATAAATTTTACTAACGTTTGGTTAATATGACGTTCTGGTATCGCTGACATCGAATGTGTTTTTCTCCCCGGTTAATTTCATTAATCCATTTTATAGTACAGCAAATTATTCCAAAGTGGTGATGGCTAATCATTATGAAGTTCCCAATTGGTACGTTTGGAAAATCTTTATTAAAATGTTCCAAATAGTTAACCGTTTTATAGTTGATGTACAATGGTACCTGTAGATGCAGAAAGTATTAAATACATAGTACATAGATTATGCTTTTCAGGGCTGGGAAGCCACCAGTTGGATTACATTTAGATGTACTGAAGAATGACAAATTAATCCAAGTATGGCAGTAATGCACTCAATAATTTAAGAATTATATCTTCTTGCGGGTGTAGTATTAAATATGTTATTTTGTTACAGAAATTAATGGTGGATGAAAAAAAGTGTTACTTATTCGGCCGCAACCAACAATTGAATGACTTTTGTATAGATCATGCTTCCTGTTCCCGTGTACATGCTGCTCTTGTTTATCATAAACATTTAAATCGTGCATTTCTTGTTGACTTGGGTAGTAGTAAGTATCATACTGTCAATTTTAAGTTATATTTTAGACAGTAGGTAACACATTATACGTATTTATGCACATATTTAATTTAAAATTGCAAAAAGTGAATTTGTGAAGTCTAATTAAGCAGTATATGTACATTGTTAATGATGTGAATAAATATATAGCTATATGTTTTTTCAATAAAATATTAAGTCTTATGTTATAAATGTTACAAATTTTGATTGATTTCTTAGCACATGGAACTTTTATTGGTAATCTTCGTTTGGAACCACATAAACCTACGCAATTACCAATTGACAGTACATTTCATTTTGGAGCTTCTACCCGATATTATATCATTAGAGAAAGGCCACAAACTGGTACTAGACCCATTATTGAGGAATTAGAAAAACTGTCAGAGGATACAGATGCTGGTGGTTTATTAGGTTTACCTGAAACAGAAACAGAACTTGATGTATGCCTTAAGTGATTTTTATTATTTAATTCTATTATTATAGCATATGTTTAATAATTATATTATTAATTACAGAATTTAACAGAATTTAACACTGCTCATAATAGACGTATATCTATGCTAGGAATAACAGATGATGAAATTCATAAACCAACTAGAAAACGAAAAAAAAAAGGAATTACTTTCAACGATGATGAAGAAGTAATAAATCCAGAAGATGTTGATCCGTCAGTCGGAAGATTCCGTAATCTTGTACAAACGACCGTCGTTCCCAGTAAAGTGAGAATCATTCTTAATTGATACTTTATATCATTTATGTATATTCATTTGAAAATTTATTATTAACTTATGTTTTAGAGAATGCGTATGGAAGGAGGTTTAATATCTTTGTCAGAAGATCACAATCCTTTGAAACATCTTCAACCCACAACAACTACACCTCAACTTTATCAAGATTTACCACCAGAACAGTTCACCCCATCGTCGTTGTCTCTTAATCCATTCTCTAGTGCACTGTCTTCGTTATCGTCTCGACTTGGTATCGCGTTACCAAATCCAGCACCTGAGGTAGAGATGACACCCAATCAAATACAAACGGAAACGCCACATGTACCAGAAATACCAGGACCTACTGATACACGGACAATGGAACCAAAAAAGAAAAAATACGCCAAAGAAGCTTGGCCTGGGAAAAAACCTATTCCAACACTTTTGGTGTAATAACATGAAGGAATTTATTTTTATCAGATAGTTCTATTATTTGAGATTTAAGAATTAAGTTATATAAAAATCTGTGCATAAATTACTCGTTTAAAGTTTCAGGAATATGTTTAGTTAACATTACTAACTAACTGCATTAGTATCTTAAAACTTCAATTAAATTTATTTTTACATAACGTAACTATATAAATGTATTTTAAATTCATTCATTCATTCAAATTTTTTTTCGCGGACATAAAAAAGTTCTAATTAAAATTTCCTGTAAGATAAATAAACATAAATAAATAGAGATTACTTTAGCATTAAGGAAATGTAAAGTAAATGTAATGTTAAGATGTCACAAAAACTTTTTTGTGACACAATACTTTGTCACAAAAGTTATCTTCGTTAAATACAACCGGAAAAGTTTATTGTATTTACTTATGAATAATGCACTTATTATATTTACTTATTACATTTACTTATGAATAATATGAATATTGCTTACGTAAGATAACATATATTCTTTGCAAATAATATCACGATAATATCGTTGTCAGGGAATTTTAATTTTGTGAAAATGACAAATCATTATTTTCCACGTACTTAGTGCAATAATTATACTAATTTGGAATTTTGAATAAATTCCGCAAACAAAGAATGCATTATAAATTTTGCGTGTTTTCCAAGTAAAAAATATTATTTTTAGTAAATAGAAATTAATGTAATAATATACCATTCAAAGTTAATTGAGGGGTATATTTTTGTTTATTTTATTAATATAATATGATTTTATTTATTTTATAAAAAAATACTTTTATTAAAAAGATACAAAATAAATAAATAAATTACAAGACAGAAGCGTAGTATAAAATTATGGTTTCGTTTGAACACACAATTAATTTGATCATACATCAGTTCTTTCGTTGGGTAGCTGGAAAATGCCGAAATACTTGCACGAATTACGTGCATTTATATTTGTTAATATTCCAACGAAGCATCTGGTGTGGTTGACGACTCAAGTGCGACTTCCTCGTAATCTCTCTCCAATGCGGCGAGATCATCACGCGCCTCTGCAAACTCTCCTTCTTCCATACCTTCGCCAACGTACCAATGAACGAATGCTCGCTTATGATACATAAGATCGAACTTATAATTTAATTTAGACCAGGCCTCCTCGATAGCTGTTGTATTCGACAACATTGAGACCGCCCTTTGTACCTACGTTTAATTTTGTAACAATATATTAATATATAAACATATATAACATGTAACGATATATTAATATATTTAATCTTATAATTTCGTTTTAAAGCTAATTTGCAAATTCGCTGAAAGGAAAAAAGACAGTTCAAACCGAATCGAAGTACCACTTTAACTTAGGAATTGGAACAAGGAAGTTGTATCACCGATAGTATATATTTACGTAATAATTGATACCTTGGCAAGGTCTCCACCAGGCACAACGGTAGGTGGCTGATAATTGATGCCGACTTTAAAACCGGTCGGACACCAATCGACAAAGCGTATACAACTTTTCCTCTTCATCGCCGCAATCGCGGCGTTCACATCCTTTGGCACCACTTCCCCGCGATAAAGCAGGCAGCACGCCATGTATTTTCCTTCGCGAGGATCGCACTTGACCATTTGATTGGACGCCTCGAAACATTCGGACGTTATCTCCGCTACGGACATCCCCTCGTGAAAGGCTTTATCAGATGACACCACTGGGGCATACGTCGCTAGTGGAAAGTGAATCCTAGGATACGGCACTAAGTTCGTTTGAAATTCCGTTAGGTCTACATTCAGCGCACCATCGAATCTCAGGGAGGCGGTTATCGACGACACCACTTGGCTGATAAGACGATTCAGATTCGCATACGAAGGTCGTTCGATACCGAGTTTCCGTCTACAAATATCATAAATCGCCTCGTTGTCCACCATAAACGCGCAATCTGAATGACCGATCGTAGTGTGAGTAGTGAGAACTGCATTGTATGGTTCCACAACAGCGGTAGATACCTGATATACATATACATATATATTTTTTTTTTTTTTTAACACAAAAATATTGTGTTACGAAACGTTCCTATTTATACGTAAGGTAACTAAAAAAACATAATTTCTATCGATTTGTACGTACTTGCGGTGCCGGGTATACGGCAAATTCTAATTTGCTCTTTTTCCCGTAATCGTCGGATAGCTTTTGCATAAGTAACGAGGTGAATCCTGACCCGGTACCCCCTCCGAACGAATGAAAGACAAAGAATCCTTGAAGTCCAGTGCACTGATCCGTCAACCTTCTCACTCGATCCATTACAGAGTCGATCACTTCTCTACCGATGGAATAATGACCGCGTGCGTAATTGTTTGCAGCATCTTCCTTACCCGTGATTAATTGTTCAGGATGGTACAATTGCTTGTAACGGCCTATCCTTACTTCGTCTATAGAGAATATTTGGTTCCCGTTGTTATATCTTCCCGAATGTTTCAAAAGTGTTTGTTTTACAAGTTATTTATAGTTAACATTTTCCTTTTTTGCGAAAAAGAATTAAACTAACCAACGACTGTGGGCTCTAGATCGACCATCACAGCACGCGGTACCATTTTGCCAGAACTGGTCTCGTTGAAAAATGTATTGAAACAATCGTTTGTCCCGGATACTTTGTCTGATGGTATCGTTCCATCCGGTTGAATTCCATGTTCGAGACAATACAATTCCCAACAAGCGTTGCCCATTTGGACACCTGCTTGGCCCACGTGCATCGAAATACACTCGCGCTAGAGTAAGATTCATAACTTCCGTTAACAGGAATTGACAATTAAGTAAAAATAGTCTTCCGTAATCAAAGAAAATCTTTCGCATTGTTTGAAACTTGAAAATAAACGTAATACGTTTCTCATTGAACTGAACGTTGTTAAAACAGGCATAGAGACGTGCTTGTGTAACAAAATACCATGGATTTCATATTTACATGTCGTACCATTTTGACTTCGTTAGGATACAGTATCTTGAAATGCTATATCAAATTTTCTCGAATTGTCGAGCCGAAAGACGTTTAAAGATTTTTCTTAATTACAAGGAATTTTGAAACTCTGTCTTCCGCTACCCGAGAAAAGTCCTGTGATAATTTATTTCAGTTGTCCGGACAACGAAACTGTGCAATGAGAATAGAAAAAAAAAAAGAAAGTTGAAAACATCATGTACATTCTTTATTTAATCTTTTTTTTTATCGAACATGATCTTGATTAAATTATATTTTTTTTTATCGAATATAAGTCTATATAAGCATATAAGTACTACAGTTATATATAAGTACTTTTTATATACATTAATTTATATGAAACGTGATAAGTTTATCTACATGATAGATAATAGAAGTTTCACAACTTGTAATATTTATTACACTGAAATATCACCTCTGAAATATCATTTATTGATCGTAATGTTCAATAAAATGTATGGTCAGTTATGTTTTTTGAAAAAAGTTCGTCTTATTCTCAATCTATTCTCTATCTATTATGTGATGCGAATAAAAAAAAGAGTATATTTTTTTTTATTACATTAATACAATTTCAAAAATACAAGGTGCAAAAATAGGCACATAATTAAAAATAACTTGTAGGAATGAATCAATGACCTTGACATTTTCGTCACATCACATCTTCCCACGAACACGATGTAGTACTCTGTGATCTCGAAAGACATTATGTAATTATGTTCAATCGATCGTGTGCGTGTTTTGTGCACGTGTCATGATTCGTTGAATCACTTCTTAATAGATTTCTTACTGTCTCGTAACAGAAGAATCGTAGTCGTCGGTCAAGAGAAACGATATTATTAACGATGACACGAAGAATTATTGTTGAATTAAAGCGAACGTAATGCTTCAGAGTGACTAGTGAACTATTCGAATTCTCTAGTGCGGCATGGTTTACCCTCGTGCAAATAGTTGTAGTATATGTAACACGATCGATTATGGATTCTAGTAAGAAGTATGACAATCCTAATCCAAAATTATCGGCGAATTTTTTTAGTAAATTAATTTTTTGGTAAGTCTTTCATGATAATTTTTCTAAACTGTAACTATTGTTGTATTTAAAATATTAGTAGCAATGGCTATACTATTAAATACTAATATTGTTGGTAATAATGAGATTCAATTATATTTAAGGTGGCTGAAACCTCTATTTTGGTATGCAAAGAACCATAATCTTGAGATTAAAGATATCTATAACGTTATGCCAAATGATGTTAGTCAACATCTTGGAGATAAACTTGAAAAGTAAATATTAAATAAGCATATATACATAAGATTAATGTCAGCATGATCAAACAAAACTTGTAAACTATGCTTACATTATCAGGAACTGGATTAAAGAAGTTAAGTCTGCAGAAGAAGCAAATAAAAATCCTAAATTTTTTAATGCTTTAAGAGAAACATTTATGTGGTCATTTGCTTATTATGGAGGATGGCAGTTCTTTTTAGCAATAGTTTTAAGGTAATAATTTTTCTTTTATATTATTATTTGTACAAGTTATAATACTGCTTATATAGTTTAATGTCATTACATAATTTTTAATCATGATATTCTAGAGTTCTTCAACCATATGTGTTAGGTCTTCTTATCTGGTACTTTGATCCTAGAGCAACTTCCACTACTACTGAAGCATACATTTATGCTTCAACTGTTATACTTTTAATCTTATTTGCAGCTTTAGTTGCTCATCATTCTAACTTAGGTTTAATGGAAGTTGGAATGAGAATGAGAATAGCATGTTCCTCTGTAATGTATAGAAAGGTGAAACAAAGTATTACTTGGAAATTTGTATCTATCAAGTATTGTTATTTAAAGTATCATTATTTTCAGATTTTGCGTTTGTCAAAATCCTCTCAAAATGTTACTACTCCTGGACAGATCATAAACTTAATGTCAAATGATGTAGCAAGATTTGAACAGTTGTTTATAACATTGCATTATATTTGGATTTTACCAATTCAAGGTGCTCTGATCACTTTTATGATATGGGAAAGTGTAGGAATTGCATGTTTAGCTGGTGTTTTTCTTATAAGCATCCAAACTATACCCCTTCAAGGTACATATTGTTATGTATCACTATTACAATTCCGTTTATGTCACAGCTTTGCATAGTTTTTTAAATTGCAAAAGAAAGAAAAACTAATTAATATTATTGTATTTTAGGGTATATAGGAAAATTGGTATCAAAGTTAAGATTAAAAATTGCAGTTAGAACGGATGAAAGAGTAAGATTAATGTCAGAAATAATTGGTGGAATTCAAGTTATCAAAATGTATACTTGGGAAAAGCCGTTTGAAAAACTTGTTAGCTTTGTTAGAAGGTTTTTTTCTATCTTTTATTATTATCATACAAGTATCATCAATTATTAAATGTGTTTGCATAATTTTAACTTTTTAGTCAAGAGATAGATGTCCTAACACTTGCATCATACTTACGAGGTTTTACTTTAGCTACTTTTGTGTTCACTGAACGTACAACGTTATATTTTACTGTTATGGCATACGTACTTCTTGGCAATAGTATATCTGCCGATAAAGTATTCTCGATAGCACAGTATTTTAATATTCTTCAACTTACTATGGCGATATTATATCCTATGGCTGTATCAGCTGTTGCAGAGGCTCATGTATCTATTAAGAGGCTTGAAGTAAGATAAATAGTTATTATTGTTTTAATCTATTTAAATCTTATACAATTTATAATATGTAAATCAATATTAACCTTTTTAGAAATTTCTTTTATTGAAAGAAAATAGTAACGTAATTTTACCACAAGAAAACAGTGGCAATGGTACTATTATAATGAAAAATATTACAGCATCTTGGACAGAAAACACAATTGCAAATACATTACATAATATCAGTATTCAAATAGAACCTGGAAAACTTTATGCTATTGTTGGTTTAGTTGGTGCAGGAAAGGTAATAAGAAATAATACTCTCATATATCATTTGTAATATCAAATGTTAATGCTCATGTTCTCTTCATTTTCAGAGTTCATTTCTTCAATTAATCTTAAAGGAATTGCAACAATCACATGGAGAAATAAAAGTGAATGGCATTGTATCTTATGCTAGTCAAGAAGCGTGGTTATTTTCGGGTACAGTACGCAATAATGTACTTTTTGGACAAACTTACGATAAAGAAAAATACAATGCTGTTGTTAGAGCATGCGCTCTCATTAAAGATTATCAGCAATTTAATTATGGAGACAGAACTTTAGTTGGAGATAGAGGTGCATCACTCAGTGGTGGACAACGAGCAAGGATTAATTTGGCTAGGTACAAATTGATTAAAAAAAAATATTATATCTGTACATCAGTAATTTAAAAATTACTCAAATAATTGTTACAACAGGGCTGTATATAGAAAAGCAGATATTTATTTATTAGATGATCCACTATCTGCAGTCGATACTCATGTAGGAAAACACTTGTTCAATGAATGCATCAAACATTATCTTCAAAACAAAACAAGAATTCTCGTAACTCATCAAGTTCAATATTTAAAAGATTGTGATTACATCATTCTACTGAACAATGTAAGTAGAAATAATCAAAATTGTCATTGTACTACTATGCTATCATTATTAGCACAATATTTATTTTAGGGTAAAATCGAATGTGAAGGTACATTTGCAGAAATTCAAAACAAACGTACAAATTTTTTACATATGTTTTCAACAGAAGAGAATAAAGGAGATTCAGAAGTCACGGAAATTAATGATAATAATAATGCTGATATATCTATTAATTATGATAATGGCAAAGACGATGAAGAAGCAGAACCAAAAGAAACTGAAGAATTAATGGCTAAAGGAAACATTTCTAAATCTCTTTATTGGAAATATTTCCGAGCCGGTGGTTCTCTTTTAATGATCCTCATTTTTGTATGCTCTTTAATTTTTGGACAGATAGGAAGCAGTGGTTGTGATTATTGGCTTGCTTATTGGTTAATATCTATCAGTACATTTTCTTTTTAATGAGAGATTTTATACTACAATCTCTTCTATTTTATTCTTTCTTAGGACAAAACAAGAAGAAATGCGTATTAAACGTAATAGTATTAATCATACGCTGACAATATATAAACAAAATCACACAGTTTCGTTTTCCTCTGACAGAGATGCAAATAAATTAACAAACGAAACAACTTCATTTGAAATGGATGATTTTAATACTACAATCTCAAACTTATTGGTGGACAATAGCAGTTCCATAGATAATAATACCGTTAGTAATTTTATTTCACTTCTTTTTTATTCAATGAATAACAATTACTCATTTTTTTTATTTTATATAGACATGGACTATTAATGCAAGATCCAATTCATATTATCTCAGTCATGAAACTGCTTTGTGGATTTATGGAGGATTCATCATTGCAAGCATAGTACTGACAACAATAAGAAATATCGCATTTTATAAAATATGTATGAACGCTAGTAAAAGTCTTCATAATCTAATGTTTTCCACTTTGTTAAAAGCACCAATGCTATTTTTTGACACACATCCTTCTGGTAAGCATTTAAAATAAAAAATTTCATGAAAGAAAACCATATAAACTAAAAAAATTTGTAATATTAAATATTAGGTCGCATTCTAAATCGTTTCTCAAAAGATGTGGGATCGGTAGACGAAGTTTTACCAAGAACTATGATAGAATCCATCCAAATATTTGCAGTAATGGTTGGAATATTAACTCAAGTCCTTATTATTAATTGGTGGACTGTATTTCCAATGCTTATCATGGGTTTCTTATATTGGCAAATACGAAATATTTATCTTAAAACTGCACAAAATATGAAACGTTTTGAAGGAATTAGTAAGCATCTTGTAATTTATTATATAAATATTATTTAGAATATTATTAACAATATTATTAACAATTTTCCATACAATTTTAGCGAAAAGTCCTGTTTTTTCCCACGTTAGTTCTTCCTTATTAGGATTAACAACAATTCGTTCCGCTTGTGCGCAAAATATGGTCCGTAAAGAATTCGACGTTCACCAAGATCTTCATACTAGTGCTTATTATTTGACTATAGCAACAAGTACCGCTTTTGGGTTCGCATTAGATATCGTATCTATTTGTTTCATTGCTTTTATTACGTATAGCTTCATTATATTTGATGATGGTAATATATAAATTTATACCGTTATAAGAAAAGTAATTAGCATTATGCAATTAAAACATCTATTTATATGCTTTTAGAAAATACATTTGCGGGAAATGTAGGATTAGCCCTTTCTCAAGTATTAATCTTATGTGGAATGCTTCAGCATGGAATGCGTCAAACTGCAGAGACAATAGCACAAATGACAAGTGTAGAACGAATTCTACAATTTACACAACTTGATAAAGAGGGACCATTTGAAAGCGAACCTAATAAGAAACCGTCCGCACACTGGCCTTCTAAAGGAGAAATAAATTTCGATCATTTGTATTTACGTTACGAAGATTCCTCAGCACCAGTTCTTAAAGATTTATGTTTTACCATTAAATCTGGCGAAAAAGTAATTTATTGTTGTTCGTCGACAAAATTAGCATTTAATGTATATTAAATTAATTATTAAATTTATATTAATTAATTATTAAATTTTATATTTTTAGGTAGGAATAGTCGGTCGTACTGGTGCCGGCAAAACCTCTTTAATATCAGCTTTGTTTCGTTTGACTAAACTTGAAGGTGCTATTTACATAGATAAATTGGATACAAAGCAAATAGGTCTTCACGAATTACGACGGAAAATTTCGATTATCCCACAAGAACCTGTATTATTCTCAGCAACGCTACGAGACAATCTCGATCCATTTCATGATTTTGATGATATTACTCTTTGGGCTGCTCTCGAGGATGTAGAACTAAAATCAAATGTTTCTTCTCTAGATTATAATGTCGAGCAAGGTGGCGTTAATTTCAGCGTTGGGCAAAGACAGCTACTCTGTTTAGCTCGAGCAATTTTAAGAAATAATAAGATTCTTCTTCTTGATGAAGCTACGGCCAATGTCGACCCTACAACTGATGCCTTAATACAAAAGACTATTCGACATAAATTTAAGAATTGTACAGTATTAACCATAGCACACAGATTAAATACAATTATGGACAGCGACAAAGTGCTAGTTATGGATTATGGAAAAGCTATTGAATTTGATCATCCATATGTTCTGCTCAAAAATGAGCAAGGCCACTTCACTAGTATGGTTAAACAAACTGGAAAAGTGATGTTTGAACAACTCAAGAAAGTTGCAGAAAAGGTACAATGATATTTCCTCTTGTTTATGATATTCATTTATAGTAATCTATATATAAATCCTTATCAAATTTTAGGCTTACAATGAAGTTTATAGTAATATAGAGTTACAGTCACGAGTTCTCAATGGTGAGACAGTCAAAGGTAATTAGAATTTTGGTAAATACCAATATTGTTCCTACATGTACTTCTTATAATCAAAACTTTTTATGCGAATTGCGCACGATATTTTATGTAATCTTTTTTTTGAATACTGCATCTACAATTTCATCTACAATTGCACAAGTACTATAAAGCGTTGTACTTCATATATAATATTTTTTATATTATTTAGATATTTTATAATGCAAAATATATTTTATACATATTAAAAAATCTATATAAAACAAAATGTGAATTTAATGTACAATTATTTTTTAATAAAATATATATGTATATATATACATATAAGAAAAAATATATATATACTGTTCCAAAATTTTTTTACAATCTTTTTATAACTGGTTAATTATATAGATCTATTATAAGAATATGTAAGTTTCATATACTAGAATATATAAGTTTCATATACAAGAATATATGTTTCATATAAGTAATAAGATTTTATTATATAATGACTATAAAAAATATTAGATTAATTTAACAGAGCCGTTTTTAACTAAATCAGCTACAGCACTGTATTGTATAATATGTTGGGAGCCTGGTTCAAGATCTATTTCTTCGTCCATTGAACCAGGAAGTATGATTCCATTAATCCTATCATTAGCTTTTAAGAATACGTATGCCTGCAGATTAGGTTTCACAGTTAGTGTATCAACTTCAAATGTCTGAAAATTTCCGGGCATGTGTTGCAAAGCAATTGTTTTAAAGAGCATCTCAATATTTGCAAGGAACTCCTTCGCGAATTGAAGCTCTGCAACTGTTAAATAACATTCCTCGGAAGATCTATTCGCTTCTTGAGAAAGTATGTGAATGGTGTATTTTTCAATTTTTTCTAACCGAGCTCTGAGGTAATTAGTTATCACATACTTGATCCTATCCAACTCCATTCTGTGTATCATCAATCTTAGATCTTCTTTGTCTAACCTCTTCATGTTCTCTTCCATGTGCGTGATTTGTTGCAGCATGCAGTCAACTAAATCAGACCGATGTGGTAAAATCTCAGGTGCGAATTTCTCGTTCAGCCAAGCTTCCTCTATCGCTAATAAAACACTTTGAGCAGTTACTTCCTCCTCTTCCTGATCATCGTTCTCTGCTGTCATATGCACGTCTCCATTATCTTCCATATTTGAGATCTCACACAAGAAGTTATTTGTTATTAAAAACTTTTCAATACTATCCCAGCACTTTAATACGATAACTCAATACTATACAATATATCGATTAACCACTGAAGGGGATACAAGAAATCATCATATTGTCATCTTAACCCCTAAAGCACGAATCGTGGGATCTAACAGCGCGGCTTATCGGGACTGCTAATGTAGTGAGAGATTGCTAGGCTGCATAATTCGAAGGTTACTATATGTAATAAAAATTCGAACAATCAAATTACAAATTATATGTATACGAGAAAAAAAAAGTAAACGAGACAAATATTGTTACTTATTTGTGTACTGCATTTATTATATAAAACTGTTTATGTATGAAGTACATATAACAAATACTAAATGAGATTGAATGCAACGAGAATTTTCTTCTCATTTTGTTATGTCTTGTGAATTAGTTACTAAGACAATTATTATTTTATGATGAATACAGACTATCCCGTGATTATGTGTATTATTAAATTTGGCGGATTTGAAGTAACCCGGTCGTAAGAACGAGGAAGTTGAATGCGCATCACGTGACTAAATTCGATATTTCTCGCCATTTAAACTTGAACCGCGAGGTGAGTTTTTAACTTCATCGAGTCCCAAAATAGATGTTGCGTTTCGAGGAATACCACTAAAATGTAAAGAGATCGGTAGAATTTTACTCGATACACAAAAGGTAATAAAGTTATATCGAATTCTCATGATGTTGATGAATACAGGGGAAAAATCAGTTTTTAAGAAACTCGCACGAAATATCAGAAGATCTGAACGGGCAGAAGTAAATGAAAAGAGTAATACGATACACACGCTATTATAATAAGCTTCTTACAGCATGAAACCATATTAAAGTCTACATGAAACTTATACAGATCCCGAAATCACAGGCCTATCGATATATATACGCCTAAGTTTCATTCCTTATCGGTAGAGCAGAGACGAGGAAGGAAAGACGAACAGAAGACGCTCGTTTCTTTCTTCGAATGTGTTTAAACAATTTTAAGAAGCCAAAGGCAACGATTATTGTAGGATTATGGTTCGAAATTGAATATAAAGCAGTATAAAACGATGTAGATGAAGGGTACCAAAGGATAGATGTTCTATTCCTATTTCAGCCTCGTAAGGTTTCTGTGTGCGGCACTAAAGATACACCAAGGTATTCTTAAATCCTCGTTAACTTAATAAACTCCTTCTTAAGACTGTTTACCGTCTTAGATCATAACAATATATAGAAAACTAGACGTAAGGGTACATATGACAGGGTCGAAGCAAGAGGTTGGTTCATATTTAAACAGAAGTCGAACGGCGCAGACACGAGCCGCATCCAACAGTGGACCTAATAGCCTTCCTACATCCTTCTGTTAAATTTAAAAAAAAAAACCTTCCAACCGAAATCAAACTGAGACGTGTACTTGGATTAGTTCGTTCGATCACGATTTTCTCCAAGTAGCTTAAAGGTGAGACGTAGAGGCGGAGTGACGGTGTCCTGATTTCATTTCATAAGTGCTGTTTGAACGAGTTGGTGTATTAAAAATTTCCTGCACTGTTTCCCTCAGATATTTCTCTTTTAAATACAATACGAAGAAGATTTAGATGGTCAGCTATTTTGTTCAAATGTTCAAATAAGCTCGATGGAAGTTCCTTTTGTTTGAACAGATCGAGGAGATAAGGCAGTTCGAATAATTGAGCAAACTTTCGATAATAAGAAATTCAGTTGTCATGTGCAGCTTTTTTTCATTAGTTTTTTGACATTGTATAGCTTACTTTAAATACAAACAAAATGATTTGCACGCACTTATTACAAGAATACGCGTTCGTATATCGCGAATTTACGGTCGACCGTAGATTGAATAATAGAGGCTAATATGAGTTAAACAGATATAAACGAAGTGCAGATAAAATTCTACATCTTGTCGAACATCTTGTTGAATAATTTCAAAGCACTAGTACGAACTAGTTTAAATAATCAGAAGAAAGGAAAGAAAGAGAGAAAAGAAAGCATGTAGTCTTAAAGGAGTCATTTGAACATTTACAGAGTCAAGATGCTTCCTGTTTCGGGACCCAGCTACCAAGCTTACTCATATGGAGGTTCAAAGTTTGGAAATCAAACGGTGGTTGACAAGGTTCCACCTGATATGCTCCATCTAATCGACGCCCATTGGTATCAATACCCACCTCTAAATCCAATGTGGCATGGAATCCTTGGATTTGTGATAGGAATGCTTGGTTTCATCTCAGTTTCGGGGAACGGCATGGTTGTCTACATATTTCTTTCGACAAAGAGCCTTCGTACGCCAAGCAATTTGTTTGTAATCAATCTTGCCATGAGTGATTTCTGTATGATGTTCTTCATGTCTCCGCCTATGGTGCGTAAAACAAATTTTTATTTTTATTCTTTCAATCACTAAGATAGTTCTGATCGGCTATAAAAATGATACATATTCTCGCTGAAACTGTTATCGCAACTTAAACGTGTAATAACAAAATTCGATACGATTCGCTGTTTAATAGGTGATCAGTTGTTATTACGAGACATGGGTACTTGGACCTCTCTTCTGTCAAATTTACGCGATGTTGGGGTCGTTGTTCGGATGTGGCTCCATATGGACGATGACGATGATTGCATTCGACAGATACAATGTGATCGTTAAAGGTTTATCCGGTAGGCCATTAACCATTAACGGGGCTCTCCTCCGTATACTGGGCATATGGGCGTTCTCTCTGATTTGGACTATCGCGCCTATGTTAGGCTGGAATAGGTAATTCGCTTGAGCGTAACAATGTCTTGATAAATCTTATCGGCATTTTATTCGAAAGTCGATTACGAATAACAAAATGTGTGATTCTCTTCTTTAGATATGTACCAGAGGGTAACATGACCGCATGCGGTACCGATTACTTCAGCAGAGACATAGTGTCTGTTTCTTACATTATATTATACAGCATCTGGGTTTACTTCATCCCGCTGTTCCTTATTATCGGGAGTTACTGGTATATCATCCAAGCGGTAGCTGCCCATGAGAAGAATATGCGCGAACAAGCCAAAAAGATGAATGTGGCATCTCTCCGATCATCCGAAAATCAGAATACTAGTGCGGAGTGTAAATTGGCGAAAGTATGACTATCTAATTTGTAACGCAATGAATATTTGAATGAACTTTTAATTCTCTTTCATTTGTAACGAGAATTAAGATGTTTTATGATAATTCTAGGTTGCCCTTATGACAATCTCTTTATGGTTTATGGCTTGGACTCCATATCTAGTCATCAACTTCTCTGGCATCTTCAATCTTGTTAAAATCAGTCCGCTTTACACCATCTGGGGCTCTCTGTTTGCCAAAGCCAATGCAGTTTACAATCCAATCGTTTATGGAATTAGGTAGCTATGATTTCATAAAATATCTGAATAAATATAAAATTATTTAAAGATAATATTAAATTTTATTATCCTTTTTTTCTCAGTCATCCGAAGTACCGAGCTGCATTGTTCGCGAAATTCCCATCATTAGCATGCGCCGCCGAACCAGCAGCTACAGATGCTACATCTACTGTTTCCGGTACAACTACTGTTGCAGACAGCGAAAAATCCAATGCGTAAAAAAAAAGAATATGCTACGGCTACACCTTACTTTTATTCGATCCATAACGCAGAAGATCAGGGATTAACGATGAGTATAGATTAAAATATACTTCACTAGGTAAGGATAACAGCAAATTTTATTACAGACACGATTTGTAAATATTAACATCTGACATGACAAATCTTTAACAAACTTTTTTTATCGATACCAAAAAATATCAATGCGGTCAATCAAATATTCAAAATTGAATGTGTTCAAACATTCAGAAATACAGTCTAACAAGCAGCACATCTGATTCGATGAGGAACAACTCCAGTATATGAAATTATTGTATACGTAATATTGAATGAACAATATTTGAATCTCCTGTAACTATATGTATGATTTGCATTTCACCACAATGCAAATCATTTTACATCAATTCATAGGTATGATTTCAATTTTGTACATTTATTGCGTAACAATATACATGGTCACTTTGGTATAGCAGGTACCAGCTCTATGTTTACTAGATTAGTAAGCACATCACATTACCATGAAATATGGAGGGAGCATCTGTACCTTAATTTTATAAGAGTAAATAAATTCTGCAAGCAACTGTATCCTAAGTTTCATTAATCCCTATAAAAGTGCGAACACTTCCTTAAATTAATTTTCAAATACCATTTAATTTACAAAAGATTCTGCATATTTACAAGGAAATAGAAAGACATTTAACTTTTCACTTTATTTTATGAGTTTCCACCACCTTCTGAAGGTTTCTCTCCTCCAGCGGCTTGTTCTTCCGTTGAACCGCATATCAAAAATGGTAGCTTCTCCTTTAGTGCAGCTCTGTATTTTGGATGACTACGGCACATTTACAAAATATATTATTAGCATTATTTTTTTATTCATTGTTTTTTATTAAAACAACACCAATGCATTTGTATGTGTTGAATATGTACCTAACTCCATAAACAATCGGATTATATATCGCATTCGCTTTTGCAAAAAGAGAACCCCATATGGTAAAAAGAGGTGTAATCAGAGATCGATTAAATATTCCAATGTAATTGATCACGAGATATGGTGTCCATGCCATGAACCACAGCGATATTGTCGTTAATGCTACCTAAAAAATGTGTTTATGTTTTTTATAAAATTATAAGTAATACTTTAAGATAAATAATAATATCGTACCTTTGCTAATTTTGCTTCAGCACTAGTACCACCTTGATTTTCTCCAGACCTTAAAGAAGCAACATTCATTTTCTTTGCTTGTTCTCTCATTGCTTTTTCATGTGCTGCGACAGTCTATGAAATAATAATTTATGTGTATAAATACAAACTAACATAATTCTGAAATACTTACTGAGACAATAAAGTAATAACTATAAATAATGGTGAATAATGGAGTGTAATAAACAAAAACAGAATAAACCAATATGTATGACTTAGACCCCCAATCTTGCGTTAAATAATCTGTTCCACATGCTGTCATATTACCTTCTGGAACATATCTAATTTATAAATGCAGTATATTAATAATTATTATTTTTCAGATACATTGTAATAATCAAAATATTACCTATTCCATCCTACTAGAGGTAAGATTGTCCATATTGAACCAAAAGACCAAATACCTAATATTTGAACTATAGCTCTTTTGATGGTAAGTGGAGTTCCAGACATTCCCTAAGAATATTTTACTTTTTTGTAATATTATTTTTATTATAATTATTAATATATCTATTTATATATATGTGCAGATGCATATATACCTTCACTATAACATTATACCTATCTAAAGCAATAGCTGTCATGGTCCATATAGAAGCACATCCACATAATGATCCAACCATTGCATAAATATCACACATTAAGGTACCTAGTAAAAGTTATCAAATTAAACACGCAAGAGTTTTGTGTTTTTCTATAATTATACAATAAAAATTTCTTACCAAGAACCCATGTTTCATAAAAACAACAAATCACCATAGGAGGACACATAAAACCCATCATAATGAAATCAGAAAAAGCAAGATTTACTACAAGAAGATTACTTGGTGTTCTTAAAGCTGGTGTCATTATAAATACATAAACCACTACACCATTTCCACACCATCCTATAATACCTAATATTATCATAACTAAACCTAAGATTTTATGCCATAATGGATCCAATGGAGGAAACTGATACCTATATTTTGAAATTTAAGAAAATAACATTAACATTTATTAGATTATTACATTAAAAATAATAAATGAATAATAAATTAACAATAAAAAAAACAATAAATTACCAATATGGATCAATTAAATGTAATATATCTTCAGGTACTTTACTAACAACTGTTTGATTATTGAAACGCATCAATTGCCTTGCAAAATGTGGTCCAGTAGTAGTTACTAAGGTGGAAATGTTTAAAGGCATGGCTCCAATAAAACAAGGAGTTGTTGTATTGAATTTATCCATTAAAAACTGATTTTTACAAACACAGTTCAAATTTACACTAAACTAAAATTTTATAACAGTTTTTTTACTATTCACATTCTACAACTGCAACTGTAACTAGAAGTTCTAAAACATCCTCTTTTATATGCTTGATAAAGTAAGATCCAATAAAGTCATCCAATAAAATATTCAAATGAATTCATCTACAGTCCTAACAAATGCATTTGTATTGCTCTTACACAGGTTGTAGTATATGACATATGAACAGTACCGTCATTTTAAATTTAGCATAATCTGATCAAAGTGAAACATTATGTATGCTCTTAAATATAAATTAGAATAATCAATATTCAGTTATTACGATATAACATATTATAAATGTAATTTAAAAAAAAAGTGACTTAGATATATTCAATGTACATTTTATTGTATTTATACACTTAATTATAGTACAATATCATTATTTTATTGCTCTTGAAAGTCTACGAATGTGTTGGCTGTAACCTTCTTGAAGAGCCTCTTCTAATTGTTGCGTTATGTGTGATAAATTAACAGGGTCAGTTTGAAGTAATACATGCTCAATGTTCTCATCCTTATCAGAGTTCTTTATGGATAAATCCAATGTAATAAGTGGAGCAACTTGTTTCAACAGTGCCCTTGAAGCGATCTATGAAAAAATGCATCGTATACAATATAAAAATTTAAGGATACAAAGTTCAAAGGCAAAATAATATAATACCTGCACTTCAAATCTCCATTCCATATCGTGGTATTCAGGCAATTTAAATCCAATATCTTTGAGTGTATTTGATATTTCATCTTTCTTAACATTGTATAATTTACTCAATATAACTTCTTGTTGTTCCAAGAAACCTAAAGATATTATTGAATCTCTAAAATCCTCAGAATTTAACTGGAAAAATTACATATTTGTTAAATGATATCTTACAAATTAAGAGTATAAATAAAATAATAAAAATCTATGTCACCTTATATCTACAACTTTCTATTAATAAATTAACAAGTCCTTCCACTGAATTCTTAATTACGCTTACTTCAACATCCAATTTTTCTGGAAAAACAATTACATTCAATGATAACATTAAACTTTTTTTCCCAATTATTACAATATTTTTACTTACGAGCTGCTGCGTTATATAATTTAGTATTTGGCCCTTTTTGTAAATAATCTAGAGCCAATTTGCAAAAATCCTGTAAAACTGAAAAAAGATATGTAATTATTATTTTAGAATGAAATAAAGCAGTAATAAAAATGATAATTTTACGTACCTTGCGGTGTATGTCCCGTAAGAAGTAATACATGTTTTTTATGATCTGGCTTTAATGTTAATAACATTATGTTACTTTCTATAAAAATACGCTGTGTAATTATTTATATTAAATTTGATATGTGAATAACGGAATTGTCAATCATAAAACTTGTAAGCGATAAACGAACCGCCATATTTCTGTGGAAAAACGCTGCATGTCACATGCTTTCACTTTTGAGATATTATCATTTAAAGTTCATAACCAGTTTTTCTTATTAGCAATGTCTTCTTGTTCTCTTTTAACGGTATCGTAATCTGTATTTATTTTCATGCATTTTTTCTTTATAATTACATAACTATAATTCATTATTGCATAAACAAATTTCTTAAAATTATATTTGGCATTTTTTTTACAGCTACAGATTTATAAATGTAGTACGTACTTCATGTTTGTATTCTTTGAATATGAAAGGAAAAAGCATTGAACTTTTTATTTATATTACATCACAAATTTAATAAATAAATTTTACAATATATTATACAGTATATAGAAATATACCATATTCTATAAATATTTAATGTACACACAAATAACGTTAGATTAAATAATTTTAATAGTTCTTTGATATTATTACAATTTTATTTTCAGCTTTAAAATAATTGTAAATATATTAGCATAAATAAAATAATATGAAAGCTTCACGAAAAATTTATTAATAAATTTAATCAGGAATAAAGAGTGATATTTATGGTTACATGATATTTCTTATTTTGTGATATTGACATAACAAGCGATATATAAGTTCTTTATATATAAAATTATGCCTTTGGTTGAGACAGGGACGCTTTCATTTGAGCTTGTTGGAACATCTGTTGATATTTCTCCAATGTTTCACAATGTGTATCTTGTTTTTTATCTAATGTAGTTATCAGCTCGTCTACTCTTTTCCTAAAATTACAAAGTAATTAATAATCAATTTGGATTTGTTTACATGGATGATATTTTTGTATCTAATGATTTACAATTCAGAATTAATATATTCCATTCGTTTAGCAACATTTTGCTTAGCTTCTTCCACATCTTGCTTTATAAGAACTGGTCCAATTAATTTAAAAACATCATCCTCTGGTTTCAAAAGATCTAACTCTTTTTTAACTGCAATATTCTCATTTAATTGTCCATCCAGCTGTCGTCTTTGATTCAATGCTTTGTGGTAATCTGATACAAACAGACTCTATGTATAACAGGATATTTAATTAATTACAATAAAATTGCACAAAATACAATTAATACATTTAATACAATTAATACAGAAATTAATATAATACCTTTTTGAACCTGTTTGTATTTGTCTATCTCTGTTTTCAAATTTTTTTGAATTTCTTCTGTCATATTTGTCTGAAAAAGGAAATGTATCAATAAGAAAAAGGTTATATGGTAAGAAGATTAAGTGAAACATTAATGTCATATAATATTCTGTATATTAAATGCATTTTACTACAAAAACGTAAATAAACACCATTTTTCTAATATACGAATTGCAAATTATAATTGTTCGAAATTTTTACTTTTCATTTTAAAAATATTTTACCATGTCAGGATAGTAATGTTTCAAACACTTTCCCAGTATACGACAGATAACTGCTAATAAAGACTAAAAGACGTAGGAAATTTTATTATATAAATATTCCTTTTAATTAAATTTCTTTAATCTATTTTGTTTCAATCCTTGCAAATGTTGACTAATTTAAACGTGTATTCGTATGACATGCAAATACGATTATAGGGATGTACAAATTAGGAAATTAGGAAAAATCGACTGTGTGAAGTTACTAAATAACTTTTTCATTGCGTTATGAATTAACTTTATTCAAAACAACATGATTTTTAACATTTAAAAACAACATATTTTTATAGAATACGAAGAAATTAGGAAAATGAGAGAATATAATAATATTTACAATTTCAAATAGTTACATTGTGTAGTTACATTGTGTAGTTCATCAATCTTTCAAAAATCCAATGCTGAAATGCCAAATACTAAAATTCTACGAGATATGTCATAAACTCTATTAAAAAATTAAAAAATCTTATTTTCCTCTTTTTCTTTGAGAAGATGTAACAAAGATTGTAATTTTTGGATTAGATTAGTCAAAAAAATACTAGATATATCGTATAGGATATATCAGGTAAACTTGATCGATGCAAAATTATTTCATATTTTATTGACAAAATAATAAATTGTATAATCATTAAAATATATAAATATTTTTTTAATATTACAAAATTTTCATTGCTTTCAATTAAATTTCTATAATGCTTGCTAGATGGTAATATAGTCAATGATTCAAATTTCTCTTCTACGATATGACATCTATATTCTTCTTAAATTATGCTTAAGTTTGTATGTAATCGACAAACAACTTGGTGGTGTTGTTTTCATATAACTAGGAAAGATGGAAACAATCCTAGAACAACAGCGGCGTTATCATGAAGAAAGAGAAAGGTTAATGGATGCAATGGTGAAAGAGATGCTTTACAAAAAACCAGGACATAGAGAGAGTATAAATTCAGAACATCGGTTAAAAATGTTACTTGATCAATACATGGACAGTACATCGCATTTGCAGGATCTGTATGAAGATAAAGATGGTCAAAGAAAAGAAGAAGTAAGTTAAATATAGTTCATTCATAGTTTATTTATAATTGAACAATTAAATCTTTATTGTTTAGGTACAAGCACTTTCTGGACCAAACGAATTTTCTGAATTTTATTCAAGATTGAAATCTATAAAAGAGTTCTATCGTCGACATCCTAACGAAATAAGCATTCCAATGTCTGTAGAATTTGAGGAACTAGCTAAAATGAGGGAAAATCCAACAGAAGAGTTATCAAATCTTGTTGAATTTACAGACGAAGAGGGATATGGAAAATATCTTGATCTCCACGAATGTTATGAAAAGTATATTAATCTCAAAGGCATTGAAAAGATAGATTATATTACGTATTTATCAACTTTTGATCATCTATTTGACATACCAAGAGAAAGGAAAAATGCTGAATATCAAAAATATGTGGAATCTTTGTTGGAATATTTGACTGATTATTTAAGTAGAGTTAGACCTTTACTTGATATAAATGCAGAATTGGAAGAGGCAAATAAAGAGTTCGAAACACAATGGGAAAACAATACATTTCCAGGATGGCCAAAAGAAACTGGCAGTGCTCTGACTCACGTGGGTGCTCACTTGGAACTTTCTGCCTTTTCTTCGTGGGAAGAACTTGCATCTCTTGGTTTAGACAGATTAAAGTCTGCATTAATGGCTTTGGGTTTAAAATGTGGTGGTACGTTGGAAGAGAGGGCTCAAAGACTTTTCAGTACAAAGGGAGAAGCATCACTAGATCCGAATTTATTAGCTAAAAATAACAGAAATAGAAAGTCTGGGAAAGGAAGAAATTCTGAGAAACAGAAAGAAATTGCACATTTGGAAGCTCATGTTTACAAACTTGCAGAATTGGTATCGAGCCAACGTGTAGCTACAAAAGAGAATGTTCAAAGAAAACAAGCTAGAACAGAAGGTGAGAGAGGAGATTCTGATGCTGAAGCTAGTGCTAGTGAGTCTGAGGAAGAAGATGATAACGAAGTCCCTTATAATCCTAAAAATCTTCCCCTTGGTTGGGATGGTAAACCTATACCATACTGGTTATATAAATTACATGGTTTGAATATTAGTTACAATTGTGAAATATGTGGAAATTTCACATACAAAGGACCAAAAGCTTTCCAGAGACACTTTGCAGAATGGAGACATGCGCATGGTATGCGCTGTCTTGGTATTCCAAATACTGCACACTTTGCTAATGTGACGCAAATAGAAGATGCCTTAGCTCTATGGGAAAAATTAAAAGCTCAGAAGCAAGCGGAACGTTGGCAGCCAGAGCAAGAAGAAGAATTTGAAGATTCTCTTGGAAATGTTGTTAATCGTAAAACATACGAGGATTTAAAAAGACAAGGTCTTTTATAACAATTTATTTTTATAACAAACATTTCAGCATATTAGAATATTTCATACATCTGAATTGTATATTTATTACATGTCTATTGTAATCCATAGTAATATCATTTGTAATATTGTGTATATTAAAATCAATTTAATAAATATCTTTATAAGAACTCAAAGCAGCATTTTTTAAACATTGTGATATATGTTCATTATAGTATAAGTTTCGTTATATATAGGTTTCATGTATACATGCAAATGAAGTTTAATAAAAATTAATTTTTTTAATAATAAAAGTTTTAAGAATTATAAAAATGTCGCAAAATCCAATTATATTATTATAAAAAAATTTCAATTTAATTTTATTACAGATTTCAAAATCGTTTTTTAACATTAAAATCATATGTAAATTTAATGTTTTTGAATTTACATTCAGTAACTAAATGTCCGTTTATAAACCAGGGATATTAAGGTTCTTTACATATTTCTCTGACCAATGAGAATGCAGTAATTTTATACCCAGAAATTCTAGAGTATATGGTTCATCGTTTTCAAGAGATGAATACCTCTTTTAATGTCCTATAACGTAACGTACATTGCTACAGTAATTTTTGCGATCTTGCGAAGAAAGTATTTTAATTTATTGACAATTTCTTTTTCGGCTATATTGTTAACAAGATTAGTAAACCACGATTCAAAGAAAAATCAAGTAATTCTATGAACATACACTTTTAAATGTAACTTGTTATTATATTACGTTCGGTTCGATCGAAAGCACGATGTTTCATCGACGTGATTAAAACCACGTGCTTCGGGAGACCGACCGTTTTTATAAAATGTAATATATAATGTGAGAATTTTATTGAAACAGAATTGCTGTTGGGTTAATTTGGATTAATTATTTTAACAATTATTCTTTTTATAAAAGAAATAATTATGATCGACTTATAAGCGAATATTAATCAGAGAAGAAAAATTTTTGCTATCATTGTAAAACGGCATGCTGAAACAGAATGACCGAGTTCGTAGAAGGTTGGTTACTCGGACATACTTTGGGAGAAGGTGCTTACGGCGAGTAAGTTCCTATATTTTAGACTTATACAAAATTAACTCCTATTTTAGATTAATAAAATATTTTTGTATTTCAAAATATTTAAAATTACAAACAACTCTTTTTGAAAAGTCTTTTTATTGCATAATTTCGTTTATTATTTTCAGAGTAAAAATGGTTATAAATAAAACTACAGGTGTGGCAGTTGCTATGAAAATGATAGATTTGATAAAGCATCCACTTGCTCAAAAATCTGTTCATAAAGAAACTACAATTCATCGTATGCTCTGTAATCCTCACATTATACGGTACTTTGGAAAACGTAGTGAACCCAATATGGAATATATATTTTTAGAATATGCATCAGGTGGAGAACTTTTTGATAAAATTGGTAAGATATTAGACTAATTATGCAAGACAAAACTTAAAAAATTACGGTATTAATGAGATTTTTGTTTAATTTAAAATAGAACCAGATATTGGTATGCCAGTTTGTCAAGCACAGAGATATTTCAAACAATTAATCTCTGTTGTAGAATATCTTCACAGCAAAGGCATTGCGCATAGAGATTTGAAACCAGAAAATTTGTTATTAGATGAACATAATAATTTGAAAGTTTCCGATTTTGGTATGGCAACGGTATATCGTTTACATGGTAAAGAACGTTGTTTAGAAAACAAATGTGGAACATTACCATATGTAGCTCCTGAAGTGTTATCAGGTTGTTATCATGCAGAACCAGCTGATATATGGTCATGTGGTATAATTCTTGTAGCTTTATTAACTGGAGGTAATGTTTATAGCAACATTTTTTTCAAATTGTAAAATATATTTGTCTGGTAAATTTGAATGGTAAATTTCAATAAATACTAACATATGAACATGTTTAACTAACTACTGTATTGTTTCATTGTTCAAATGTAATTGTATTACATTATATAAATTGTTGATATGGATGATAATCCCTAATTTATAAAATGCAGACCATAAAATGTGATCTTTAGTGTGGTGGTTTAAATCTAATGTATAACTTACATTTCTTAGTTTTTAAATGGTCCATATCTGAACTATAGAACTGCCTTGGGATCAGTCCTTGGCAGAATGTCCACAATATAAGGCATGGAGAGATGGAAAATACATGTCTATTAAACCATGGCGAAAATTGGATAATTCTTCATTGTGTTTGATAAAAAATATTCTTATGCACTCACCAGAAAACAGATTTACTATAAAGGACATTAAACAACATAGATGGTTCATCAAAAATTTCGAGGAAGGTATGCATCAATTTGCATATATAAGCTATTGTATGTTTTTGTTCAAGTATATATGTAACATCTTCTGCAAAGGTTCAATATGGGTATTATAAAACAAATATTTACTTAGTCAGGTACTGAGTGACTCTGAGTACATATTAAATTACTCAAAGCAGCTTGGTACCTAACTGAGTGGATATTAAATACAACTTCTGATGTATAAAGTAAGTATATAATAATTCAGTTTTTAATTGTTATTAGGTATTAAATAAATACATTAAATATAGTCAATATCATATTTCAAGATAATCAAAGCTTTTGCCTTTACTTTGGTAATACAGCTCTATGATTTTAATTAAGGATCATAAAGCTAGATTACCAAAGCAAAGAGCACTGGCATTATGCATCCAAATAGAATATTAACTATTTCGGTTGGCATATGTATATATGCATATACATACATGTACATACATATGTATATTTCATACAATATATTGTTATTACTAATTTTTCTTTGTATTTTTATGACAATTTTGAATAATGTGAAACATAAATTATAAACAAATATAAAACGATAGTCAATAAAATTAAAATACTTCTGTATAATAGTTGGGAGTATAGAAGGACATGTTCGATCTGATGAAACTGATTCGAGGAAAGTACTAGAAGATGAAAAGTTAGCAAGGTTCTGTATATCACAACCGGAATTGCCTGCAATAGAAAACACTAATCCAGTACAAATTAACTTGGAAGAACGACCTGGATTTTCATTCTCGCAACCTGCGCATATAGAAGATTTATTGTTATGTACACAAGTACAAACTAAACCATTTACTCAAGCAAGTCAGGTAGTACATATTTTAAACGATTAATGGAATTTATATTTCATCTTTCATAATTTAATTTTACATTTACAGAAAACTACTTTCCAACGACTAGTACGACGTATGACAAGATTTTTTGTTAAAACTGAACTGAAATCAACTATGGAACGTTTACTAAATTGTCTAAAGAACGAAAATTATACTTGTCGTATTAATAATGTTGGCACAGTAAGTTATAAAATTATTATTTAAATTGAGAATATTACAGTATCAATTATAAACAACTAATAATTTACGCGATTATCTTTTTGCAGATTACTGTAATAGCAGTCGATAGAAGAAAAATGCCTTTAGTTTTTAAAGCAAATGCTGTTGAAATAGACGGAAAGACATTAGTTGATTTTCGATTGTCTAAAGGCTGTGGTCTAGAATTTAAACGAACATTCATAAAAATTAAATCTTTACTAGAGGATATCATATTAAAAAGCCCTATTTTATGACCAATTGTTGCGATTGAATGCATGTCTTAATATTGTACACAATTAAATTTTTTAATAAATTTTTTATACCTTTTTTATACTTTTTAAAAATATTTTTTTTCCTTTATGTTAGCAATTTTTTAATTTTTATTTTTTTATTCAATTATTCAATACTAAATGAAACCAAATGAAATACATACATACATGTTTTTTAAAGATGATAATGTATATTTTTATGAATATAAATTTTTAGTTTCATCTCGTCAAAAACCGTACATGCTCAGAGAGATATTCTAAATGTTTCTTAACCTCAATTTTTAAGTGTTACTACGATGTTCTTATTTTTACACTACATTATATTTATAATTACTAGTTTAATTGTATTTATGTTTTCTAGTTATCTTAATTTTATATATTTTTTTGATATTTATAAACAATGGTATTTTAATGACATTAATGATTTTCAACTGTACGATTTTATTATTGGTAAGCATTATATAAACATATATTTTCTATATATATTTTATAATAAACAATTTAAATATAATTATGGACGTACATGTGAAAATTAATTAAAAGAAAAAAATTAATCTAAGGTCAAAAATATCACTTTCTTATTCAGTTGGAGCTGGCACTGCAGGTGCAACTTTAACTGCAAGATTAATTGAAGATGGGTATAAAATATTGTTAGTGGAAGCTGGAGGAGCTGCACCACCTTTTTCAGATATTCCATTGTTAGCTCCTCTTATTCAAAATACTCCATATGACTGGCAATACATTACTGTACCACAACAGAATGCTTGCAAGGGTTTAAAGAATAATGTATAATATGTAATTAGTAATTACAATGTTATTAAATAAAACATGTTATTAAACATTTTTTACAATTGCTAATAGCAAAGTAAGTGGCCAATGGGTAAAATTTTTGGTGGAACTGGTAGATTAAATTATATGCTATATGTACGAGGGCATCCTTTAGATTATGATTGGTTTCCAAATTTGATTGGTAATTAATAAAGCTTATTATTATTTTTCATTTACTATTGTTATTATAATTTGAAAATATTTTCAGAACCTATTAAAAGAAATGATGACACAATGCATATAAGTGATTTGGAATGGAATACTGGTCTTGCCGATATAATTTTAAAAGGATTGGAGGAATTGAATCAAAATATTGGCAATATTAATGATAATTTAAAAAATGGTAGTTATCAAGCAAGAAATAAAAGATATTTGTGATCTGATTGTTTGATTGATTTAGGTTTCATGAAAGCACAATTATTTATGGAAAATGGGAAACGGTGGAGCACAGATAAATTATTATATAAATATTTAAAAAATAAGTTGACCATTATTACTCATGCTCATGTTGAGAAAGTATGTTTAAAGTCAAATTTATAACAATTCCAATTTTCATATTGTCAGTATAAATTATTTTAAGGTGTTAATGGAATCAAACAGAGCCATAGGAGTGCAGTTTATTGCATTAAATAAAACATTTAAAGCAGTTGCAAAAAGAGATGTCATTCTCTGTGCTGGTGCAATTGGTACACCAAAAATATTAATGTTGTCTGGTATTGGACCAAAAACACACTTGGAAGATTTAAAAGTAAAATTTATTTTTTAGATATTAGTTTATTTTTATATATTTTATTATTTTCCGTAGTGATATATATTAATTCATGTTATTTTTAGATAAATGTTATTAAAGATTTACCAGTTGGTCAACATTTAGTAGATCATGTACTTACTGGAATTGATCTAATTATGCTTAATACAAGTATAGGTTTCAGTATGACTAGTACTTTGAATCCTATGTCAGTATTAAATTATTTTCTTTTCGGAAAAGGTAAGATTTATTTAAAATTGAATATTGCCGTCATTTATATACTTTTTATACGTTTTATGTTAGGACCTTGGACATTCACAGGAGTTGAAGTTTTGGGAACATTTCATAGCTCTATACAGAAAAATAGATCAAATACACCAGATTTACAAATAATGGTCATGCCACTTGGGTTATCAAGGGACAATGGTGTTGTTTTAAAAGAAGCTATGGGAATTTCTGATAAGGTATATTACAAATAAATTTACAATTCTAGTAAATTTTAAGTATTATTAATTATTAATGTATTAATCAAGTACCATTGAATTTTATAGGTGTATAACGAATACTTTGCTCCTAATTCATATAAAAACACAATAACTATTGCTCCAGTGTTATTACATCCAAAAAGCGAAGGAGAAATTAAATTAAGAAGTAATAATTCTTTTGAGTCACCTTTAATTGATCCAAAATATTTTTCAAATAAGGACGATATTGCAACTCTTATAGATGGTATTATACTCAATTAAGATAATATAATGCAATAAAACACACTATTTATATATTAATAAAAACATAGATATTAAATTTTTTAGGACTGCAATTTATAAAGAAACTTATTGAGACAAATGCTATGAAAAGTATTGGTGCATTTATTTATAAAAAGCATTTTCCTGGTTGTGAAAATGAAACATTTGATAGCATAAAATATTGGGAATGTTACATACAACATTTAACGTTAACTTCATACCATCCTGCTGGTACATGTCGAATGGGTGATGTTGTTGATCAAATGTTTAAGTAAGTTATTAAATTTCCTAACTTAATAATTGTTTTCTTAAATTAATAATTGTTTCCTAATTTAATAACTCTTTTCCTAAATTGTCTTATAGGGTTTATGGTACAAAAAATTTATATATAGTTGATGCATCTGTACTTTCATTTTTACCAAGTGGTAATATCAATGCTGCAATTATAATGATTGCTGAAAAAGCAGCACATATAATTAAACAAAATGCAAAAGTTCATTTAAATTATACCAGATGTTCTAAATCATATAACTATTATTATATGTCTAATCATTAATATGTAATAATATTAATTAATAATGTATAAAAGAAATAATTTACTCAATGTTAATTTTAATTTTAAAAGGAAATGAAATAGAATTATATTATGCATCGTTTTATAACTTTAAATATTGATAAATTTAGAAAATCAGATTCAAGATAATTAAAAATTCTTTTATTTTTTATCTATGTTTATATCTAGAGTGGTAATTTCTAGAAGAATTGTGATCTCTATGATGACTAGTACTTTTATGTTGATCTCTCTCTCTATGATAAGGATGCATCCGTCTAGATCTTCTATCATCTTTGTCATTGCTAGAAGAAACATAATCCGAGTATTTCAAAGGTGCACCACATATCATATTTGAAATAAATGAGTTTCTTCCTAAACGAGGCATATCATTTCCTAATAATATTTCTTGACCTAATATAAGCCATTCATTGGAATTCGCATGATGGATTTGATTTGTATCTTGTGAATTAGTTTGTTGTAATTCTATGTTTCTTCTTGCTCTCATGTTAAGAGTACGATTAAATAGAGATGTACCATCGAACAGCTCTAAAGCATACAATACAGAACTAATATGTTTGTATGTTATGAATCCATATGACCTTTGCTTGCCATCACGATCTTTAGGAATAGTAACTCTTTGTATAGGCCCACCCTATAACATATTTTTATAAAAGATTTTTGAAAATATTTTTGTGAAGGATAAAATTTTAAAATAAACTATGCAACATTATAGGTTCATTCATTTTCGCAGTTGAAAGTACAACTGAAATATATAACCAAATTGCCATTAAATCATGTACAAAGAAGCGCACATGAAACCAATGTTCAATATAAAATTATCGCAAATGCTTTGGATGTATTTTTCCACTTACTAACATATTAAGATTAATAAATATTATTGAGAAAATTTGTTTACGCAGATACATGAATCTACAAACCTGCAAAAATAATTCATATAGTATTTCTTCCGTAATTCTGGTGCTTAAATTTCCACACCAAATAGTTCTTATATCCTCGTCCACGTTCAAATCCATGAATGTTGTATATTATAAAATTTATATGAGAATGTAAAAGTAATTTTAGCAATAATTAAACGAAGTATATTACATTACATAGAAGGATGAATGCATTCCAATTATAATTCGTACAACTAACACTAGAGAGCATTATTGTCTGAACATACCAACTATACAAAGTTACTACATTGTAAACTACTTTATTCATGATTGTAGCTTGTTTTGTGGTTATAAAAGCAAAATTGGCGGTATATATGTACCTATTTATGAGAGTGCCTTGTAAAGTAGTGTTTATGTACTATTTTCTTCCAAGCCAGGACAATAAATGATAGAAAATATAGATATCTTTCTACAGATAGAAAAATGTACAATGTAATAGAAATTATACTGTTTTGATATTTAGTATCAAACTAAATATAGTATAATAGAATATTACGATTAATACGATAAAATTTGTTAAAAAAAAATTAAAAGATCCCGATAAAAAATTAAAATGACTACCAGATTAAATAAATGTTCAGAACATGAGATAATAATGATTCTTGATACAGAATCAGATTCTGATAAAGAGCAAAAACCATGTGGTAATATTATTCCAGCTAAAGTACAAAGAAACAGAAATAAGAATCTACAAAATGTAATACAAAACCTGTTGGATACATCTTCAGATACAGAGAATGTGTTCAAAAATTTTAAGTATAAGTTGCCAAGAAATAGTGTTTCTCATAAAGAAAAAGTATCTCTTAGAATTAAACTTAGAAGATCTACGGAGCAAAGTTTGTATAAGATTGATACAGACTCCGAGTATGAAAAGACTACCTGTAAATCTCATAGCCGAATTCAAAGGCAGAGAAAGAAAAGTTATTCAGAGGTAGAAAGTGAAGGTTCCTTTACTGATGATAAAAACAATACTACAAAAAATAAGACGAGCGATGACAACAAACACGAAGAAAATGAGAATGACTTATCAAGGAGAAATAGAAATAGAAAGCCACCTTTAAGATTTTCTCATTACCATTGCGAGATACTACCTAATTTGAATTCTCCATCTTTAAGAGGTAGGAAAAATATCAATTACGATGAAGATAAGTTGTTTATTAATTCTATTGAGTCTAACATGAATACCCAAAACAAAATGTTAAAGCAACAAAGAAAGGAAACTTCAAATAGATCCATTAGAAGACAGAATGTACAAGCTAAGCCTATATGCCCCAAAGTAAAAACTAATAAAAGAAACCGTATTCCATCTATAGAAGATGAAGAAAATGATAGTAGTGCAGATATTAAAATATCAAAGGCAAAGTCGCCAAAAAAATCTAATAACTCTGAAAATGGGAGTAAACTGAATCATGATTCCATAAGAAATGAGGAAAACAATATTAATTCAGATTCTAAAATATTAAATGCAAAGTTACTGAAAAAATCTAATAGCTCTGAAGGCAAAAATAGAAATAAATTGGATCATGTCCTCATGAAAGATGAGGAAAATGATACAGATTCTAAAATACCTAACATGAAATTAACCAGAAAATCTAATAAATTTGAAAGTAGCAATAGTAAATTGGATGTTTCAAAAGTACATAAAACGACGAAGAAGCAAGATTCATTGACATCAGTATCTATAAGTAGCACACCTGTCAAATCTAAACAGAAAAGAATAATTTGTGGAAACATACCAAAACAGATTGAATCTATTAATAGTAATGATAGTAGTAGTGAAGGAGAATGTTTAGCTGATTTATATAAACGTATTAAAATTTCATCAGCAATTAAAAACTCTAACTCTAATAACTCTCCTAACTCTACACCTATTAAAATGAATAAACAAAAGGGTGTAATTTTTAAAGAAACATTAACAAAGTCTGACAAAGTCCAGTCTGACAGTAAGAACAACAATGACGCAGAGGATGAATATTTATGTGACATGTATAAATGTATTAAAATTTCATCTGCAAAGATTTTAACCCCTCAAACGAAAAGTAATATGCAGAAAAGCATTGAACTAGATCTAGAAAAAACTCATCTGAGCACTCCGAAATCTCGTCCAAAATACAGTAATTTAACACCGTCATTGGTAAAACGAAATAGTGCTCTAATAAAACCAACTACACCATTACAGGAGGCTAGATCTAAATTACATGTTAGCGTTGTACCAAAATCTTTACCCTGTAGGGAGGAAGAGTTTAATAATATTTTTACGTTTCTTAGAGGAAAATTAGAAGATAAAAGTGGAGGGTATGTTGAAAAAGATTGTCTTTTAAAACATTACATAACTAAATTAAAAAAATTTGTAGATGCATATACATAAGCGGAGTGCCAGGAACAGGTAAAACTGCAACTGTGAATGAAGCTATTAGGTGTCTGCAAAAGTTGATACTTAAAGGTCAGTTAGATGATTTTAACTATATTGCAATTAATGGGATGAAACTAACTGAACCAAGACAAGCTTATGTGCAAATTTTAAAGCAGCTGGATGGTAAAACAGCTACATGGGAACAAGCGTATCATATATTGGACAAAAGATTTCATAGCGGCATTTCTAAAATGACGTTGCTTCTTGTAGATGAAGTATAATTCTCTTTAAATATTTTACATTATTATCGTTATTTATTTGCTAATATATATATCGTTCTTACAGCTTGACCTGTTGTGTACAAAACGTCAAGATGTTGTTTACAATTTATTAAATTGGCCAACAAAATCAGAGGCGCAGTTAGTTGTTATCACCATAGCCAATACTATGGATTTACCTGAAAGGGTTTTCATGGGTCGTATAACATCACGTTTAGGTTTAACACGACTAACTTTTCAACCTTATAATTACAAACAACTGCAGGAAATCGTCGTATCTCGACTTAAAGGTTTCGATGGTTTTAGGAATGAAGCTGTACAGCTTGTTGCACGGTATTGCAAGACTTATATTGTAATGTCGTATCTATATTGTTATTGCTTATCAAATATTTTATTGTAGAAAAGTTTCTGCTGTATCTGGAGATGCCAGACGAGCTTTGGATATATGTCGTCGCGCTATGGAAATCACAGAGTTGCGAAACGGCGAGACAATCTCTCTTCAAGATGTGTCGGAGGCTATATCTGAAATGATTGCATCGGCAAAAGTTCAGGCTATAAAACACTGTTCAGAAATGGAAAAAATATTTTTACAAGCGGTGTCTGCAGAAGTCACGCGAACTTCGATCGAAGAAGTATATTTTAAAGATGCGTACAAACAAGTTGAATCGTTGTGTTCATTTGATGGTTCGTTTATTTAATACGAGATATTAGTCAATATTTAAAAAGATTATGTTTATTTATTCTTTATTATATTGTTACAGGTATTGAAATCCCCACTATAACGGAAATACTTGCAGTTTGTGGAAGATTAGGTTCTAATAGATTGTTAATATGTGAACATTCGAGGAGCGATATATATCAAAAGATTTTATTGAACGTTTCTACGGATGATATTCACTATGCAACTCAGGAATTAAATTTAAATTTAAAATAGATCATAATTTTTTAAATAAATGAATGTATGAAGCGTGTATGTGTATGTGCGCATGTGCCTTAAAAAAAATATCTTAGAAAGTGCCTTAGTACATGAGGTAATTTATCAAATTTTTAATCTTTTATTATCATTGAGTTTTGTAATATAGATTATTTATTATTAAATCGAATTATACGTATAAAACATACTGAGTGATCGGTATCATTATTGACATCATATTATATAAGTATATCGATATATCATAAATACATATTATCGAATTACGTAATTTAAGAATCTCTGCAAATTTTACGGGCTATTAATAACCAATGAGAGGCATAATCATGGTTAATGAAAATATCGACAAGCAAATTTTAACGTTTCATAGTGAACAAAAATGGTTGGATATTGTTAATTTGAACTGTACTTTGACTAAATTAAATAAAAGCAGATTATTTTGGGTGCTACCGACTATTAATGATTTGCATTGGATGAAAGAAGTAATTGATAAACAAAATGTGGCTGGATTAGTAAGCATAGGATGTGGTTGTGGTTTATTTGAATGGTTATTTGAAGAATATTCCGGTAAGATATTCATAAAGTATATTTATAATTTCTAAATTGTTCAGGAAATTTAATTTTCGTTCTTCATCAATATATATCTTCGAGATAAAATTTTCCATCTTTAATTTGTTTATTTAAGGTTTGAACGTGATCGGTGTAGAATTAGATCGCTCTTGGTGGTGTAGCAAATATTCACCGCCGTTGTTTCTAAAAAATATCGTTTTCATTCATGAAAACAACAAAGACAATTCTTTTCTGTTGAATGAATATGCCCTTCTATTTTGTTATTTTAACAACGCGGCAGCATTCCGCAATTATGTCGAAAATTATAAAGGGAGTCTTATTTTTGTTATTGGACCAAAATTAAACGAAGATCGTTGGACGGATCCAATGCCATTTGACAAAAAGTTCGATGAATATGGTTGGAAATTAATTGGTAAAAAAGAGATGGAACGTACAAACGACTATATTGCAGTATATAATAAGTGATTGAAAAAAGGACAAAAATTTGAAAAACACGCTGATTTAATTACTTATAAAAAAAATTTATTTTAAATTAATGATTGGCGATAAATTTTAAAACACGTATATCGTGAAACGTGAAATATCGGCAAGTTAGAAGGTAAAATATTTTTAAAAAAGATCAGAAGCAAGTTTGGCGCATTGCTTTGAAGCTATCTTCGATAAAACGAAATTTGATCGTTCGACTATCGAAATGTCATTGAGTTAGTGTTTCTGACATGATAATAGATCGCAGTCCGACTAGTGCTTTTTGTTTGTTAAGTGTCAACAACATTAATATCAAACAGTTGTGTGACTAATATTCACAAACGTCAAACGTCTAAAATAGAAAAATATGACTACGAACGAGGATATTAGCACGTTAAAGGACCAAGATGAAAGGAACAAGCTGAAAGTTTACTGCACATTTTGCCCGTCAAAAATGCTTAATGCTGGTGTAGCCCGGCTAGTCAATATCGAGGTGAATTATTTGCTTTTTTTTTCCTTAACACAAAGTGTCAATATGATAAACGTTAAATTCTCATTAAAATCTCGTCAAGAGTAACACAGTCCTTTAGATGCATTTGAATCCTAACCTAACCTAAAAATGTTCGCATCTTTTGTAGTTTCCTTTTTTGGTTAGATTTCTGTTATCGTCTAAACATAAGTTACAATGGAAGGGGAAAATACTTAGTTGCTGAGCTAAGACGCATAATGCAATATTTTAGTTTAATCTACCCTATATCCAACGTAAAGGAGAGGGTGAAGCCGATCAACAGGAACTAATAACTGATTACTGGTTGGTGGAGGACATGTATACATTTGAAAACATTGGTGTTTCACACACAGTAGACAACGTAAAGTATCTAGCGTGCGCGGATTGCGAAAGGGGTCCAGTGGGTTGGCACGATTTATCTACAAGGAAATCATACATTGCATTAAGTAGAGTTAAGCACGAATGATGTATACTAAATAAATTTGTTTTCTAATTTTATATAAAAGGTGGCCTAATTTCTTTTTATCTCGAAGGATTTGTCACGAAACAGAAAGAAGAAAAATAGAGAGAGATGTTCAGCTTTCGAAGTCTGTTAACAAGATAGAAATGAAGAGAAATTGAGAAGCTCGAAGGTAGCCAGCTTTCAAAAAAGAACGACGTTGCTATTTAAGTTGATAATTTAATACTTAATCACGTACGTTACAAACACAGCCGATAAATCAGATAATCAATCGTCGTTACGATATAATAATTCATAAGTTTACGCTTACGATTAAAAACGACTTTAATAATGCACGTATCAAGCGTGCATTCGCATGATTTTATCGTAATAATGCATTGATGTTTTATATCATTGCGGTCGCCTGATCGCAAAAATGATTATTCATTGTGCATATTGGCATAATTATTTTACGTAATGCGTTGGTAATGCGTGAATAATATCTACGTGTACGCATTCGTTTG